GTAGTAGCTACTACTGTAAAGCTATGAAGATACCGGTTTAAAGCCCGCTATATATATATAGATTATAGATTTCTTTAGAGGTATACGCCCCTATACCGGCCGCGATTAGACTAAGGCTAAGGGACGCCTTATAGATAACTAAGTAGTTATACCCGAAGACCTTTATACCCTCTGCTAGAAGTATATTAATACTAGACTTAAAGACTAAGGAAAACGCGGTAGCCACCGCGCTATAGTATTCCCTATACTATATACCGGAAGCGAAAAGGGTGAAGATACCTTAGAGGCCACGGCTAAGCCCCGTAAAAAGGGCGGCTATAGAAAGAATAAAGCTAAGAATCCCACTACCGCGGTATCTATAGCTATACCTTTAGCTGCTTTAGCTAACCGTTCCTCTTCTAAACGCCGCTAATCTACTCTATAAAGAGGTTAGATCTACCGCGTATACGCTATGCCTAGCCACGATATTAACGCCTACTTCTATCTATTCCCGGATACGGTATATAACAATTAGATACCCTTTAAGAGCATTGAGATAACCGTCTAACGGATTCTTAAATACGACCCCTCGCTACGCGCGGAAGTAGAAGAACTGTGTGCCGTAAAAAAGGTGAAGAAGGATATAAGCCGGGACTCTGTATAGCTTAAAGAGGCGTGACTTAACTATAGTAGCGTCCGTAGCAGCGTCTCCCACGCCGCCACCTTTACGGCTAGCACTACTACTAGTTACCCTCTTCGAACCTCTGCTATCCTTAATTCCGGCGCTACTATTTATATATTTAACAATTTTTCCCGTTTGTCTGATTTTACACCCGCTATATAGGGGGACTACGTGGTAGCCGGCAGTTTATCCCTGCCTATTAAAGGTTACGGTAACGTGACCGCGAGACTAAACGAACTAATAGGAGGCCTCGATTTTAGGCTATTAAACGTCGTATACTACGAGGATTTTACCTATAATTTAATCTCTAACTAACGCCTACGTCTTTAAGGATACTAGTAGAATTAAAAGCCACTAAATAACTGTATTCGGCGTTCCGATAGATCTATACTATACTAGCTAAGTCACCACTTCGATTAAACCGTTATTCAATATATACCCTCTAACTAATCTACGGCTGCTTTTCTAGGCTCTGCTTCCTCTACTACCCGAAAAGCCGTCTATAAATCAACGATACGGTATCCAAGTATAGAAGAGGGCATCCTATAGTATCTACGGCTAGGGCACGTAGGCCCTAAACCACTTAGGCACCTAGAAGAGTAGACGTAGGGGGTTAAAATAAAGGGACAAATAACTATCGACTATAAGGCCTACGAACTTAAAAAGATTAAACGGCACGTTAGTAGGCGCCCTCGTATTATACCTGCCTATATAGGGGAGCGGTAGGCGATTAATTTTATAGATTTTAACCGAATATCCGACGGGGACTCGCGGTTTATATTTTTTACCGACCGTTATAGTGGTTTTACGGCCACCTATATTATAAAGAGTAAGCTAGTAGTGGATATCCTCGTAATAATTAAGGAATTCCTCGCCTAGGTGGACCGCTAATTAGGCTATAAAGTACGCGTTTTCGAATCCGATAATAAGCTAACTTAATCCCACGATATCACCTAATTCCTACGTGATAAGGGCATTCTTTTAGAGGTATCTACTGCCGACACTTAAGTATAGAACGGGGGTGCTAAACGCGCTATGGCCGTGGTTATTTCGAAGGGTCGTGCGATGAATATCCATATAAAACTGCCGCCGTTTATATAGCCTAAGGCTATTCCCATGGCGGCGTATATCTATAACCGGACGCTATAAAGGTAGTATAATAATAAGGATTGGAAAACACTATACGAGGTCCTCTTTAGAAGGAAGCCGATTTTATTATATCTTCGAGCTTATATCTATAAGGCGTACGCGATAATAAAGGATGCCTAAAAGGGCGTAAATAAGCTATTAAATCGTATCGCTCCCCGCGCCTATATCGGCTACCTTATCGGTTACGATTCCACTAAAACTTTCCGTATCTAGGTGCCTAGCCTACGCCGCTATAACCGCGTTATTCGAACGCGCGATATAGATTTTAACGAACACGCCTTCTTTAACGGCGATATCCCCACCTTTAAGGATAACCTCCGTTAATTAACTAAGGAGTAATTAGAAGACCTAATTAGTTAGATTAAGTAGGAGAGGGCTAGAGATTCACGGCCGTTTACGGACGTATAAGCTAAGGACCCCCCCTTTATATAACTACTTATTTTAAATTATTAGATCCGGGGATAAACGCCCCCGGATCCCCTTCCTCGACGGCTTTACCGTTAAGGTTATAGTCCGTAATACCCGGCCGTAAAGGGGTAGAGGAGACTATCTCGAGTTAATTAGGATAAGATTTAGGCCACGAATAGTGTGATTTAGCCGGTATAGCGCCTAATCACCGTCTATATCTGCCTAATCCACTATTTCCTACTTTATTAGTAACCCCGCTATCGGTTATAGCGCTAATAGCAGCCGTTATATTAGGAAACCGTAATACCCCTACGGCTATAGGGTTCTAGGATAACGGAATATAGTGCTATAATACCCCTATAGCTACGGCTATAGGGCTCCTATTAAATAAAGGAGCGTAACTAATTCGGTAAGGAGATAGCTAGAAAAGAGACTATTAGGTTATAGTATTTAACGCTAGCCGTTATACACCTAATATATCTATATTAAATACGACTCCGCTAACTAAATTATAGTTAAAAAGGTCCACGCCTATAGTATTATAGCGACGCTTAATAACACCCCGCGAATCCACGGCCTTAGCGGTAGCTACCGGAAGTATATCCCGGGAGGCTATCTCGGGAAATATAACCCCGGCGGTTACTTTAGCGGGTACTCCAGCGGTTACCCCGGCAGCCGTAAAGATCCACCGTAAAGACCTCCCTCCTCCTCCGAAGAACCCTCGCGATATACCCTTATACCCTTACGGCCACCTATTCTGATAGGTATAAGAAGACCACCTACGGAGCTATAAGGAGATAGGGTCGTGGATATAGGTACCGGCGTCCGTAGTAGATAGATATTAGGTTCTTAATTCGATATAGGTAATAATATATAAGTTTAATAAGTATAGATTTTTATATAAATATAAGGTAAGGCTTATAGTGCGAGGAGATTAATAGTATTAATCCTCGCTTAAGGAGATATATGTAATAATCCTAGCCCGATAGTTATTCCGCGCGCTAATAGCTATCGCCGCCCGATTTAACCTTACGCTATTATAATTTAACGTTATAAACGCGTTTATACACACGTCCCTCCCCCACGATATCTTTATATACCCGCCGCTAGGCTTTTTAGCCCCTAGGAGTCGTTTATACCTAAAAAAAGCGTTATATAGACTTAAGGAGTCTTTACTACTTTAGTAAAAGCACTTTTCGGCTATCCTTTTAGCGGACGGCTTTTAGATAATACCGTAAGAACCGTGTTATTTTCTACGCCGCAGTTTAATCCTATTCTTCTACGTTAATAATATCGTTATTACTTATAAGGAATAATATAAGGCGTAGATAAAGCAGGCCGTTAATAACCTATAACGCTATTATAACCTATAAGGTGGCGATCCTCTATAGTGGTTCCTTAGTATTAAGGTTATTTATAACCGTATCGCCCGTAAAATCTAGCTATTATAACGCGATTACGTTACTAAGTTAGAACGCCTATTAAAGCCGAATAGTAAGTATAGTAGTAACTATCGCCTAACGTACCTAATTAAGGTTATAGAGCTACTACCCTATTTAGGGACCTTAATTAACGTTAAAAGCTATTAACGGAAGATAGGATCTATACTATATATAATAGTAATATCGCGGCCTAATATCGCGTTTATAGTATTTAGGCTATACCGGTTTAACGTTAATCCAGGGCCTATTTACTAGAAGGCCCCCGATTATCTAATCCTCTATTTAATTATTAGCTAATCGTTTATATTAGAACTAAGGGGTGGCGATACTATCGAAATCTATACTAACGCCTTATTTACCGATAATACCCTTAATCGAAAGAGTAGTTAAGCGTACGTGATACGCTTATTTAGCGGTATAATAGCGTGGCGCGCTAATAAGCAGGATATAGTCACGACGTTTATAACGGAAGTAAAGCTATTAGCGTTAGTATAAGGTGTAAAAGAGAGTATCTTTATATAACGCCTATTATTTAGTATAGGAGTAGAATTTAACGATCCGAAATTATGGATCTTATACGATAATAACTAAACGATTCGATTAGTTAATTAAGAGATTAGTACGTTAATAACGCGCCTCCGCCACGTCGATATCCACGGCCACTAGGTACGTTAAGTAAAGGAATAAGGGTAAATACTCGTAACGTATATTACAAGCACGGAAATAATAGTAGACGGATTAACGAAAGCGCTATACGGCGAGAAATTTAAGATATTTAGGTCCTAGGTAGGCGTGATGGATATACGGGAACGGTTATAGTAGAAATAGCTAGAGGAAGTCCGGATAGAATATTTAGAGGACCTAGAGGATGAATTTAAAGGCGGATACAGCGAATAGATTATATAGCTAGATTATCTGCCGGTTACGAATAGCTTTAATCGCCTAACTAATATTTTAGGGCGATTAGGGGGTATATCGAACAGACTATAGTCTTTTCGGTTACGTAATAGGCCGGATTACTAAGAGTATAATCCGGGTAGACGCTTACGGAATCTATACTATATAAAATACGGTAGCAGCGTTTCCCTAACGGTCTAGAACAGTTATAATAGTACACAATTGCCTTAATTAATTTTGACCTATTTTTGTGACGATTTTGACTACGCTTTATCTGACACCGTTTACCCTATTTTTATAAGGGGTAGTACTCCTCCGGAAGTACTGCTCTATTTGGATCCTAGGTATCCGGTATTTTACCGTGGGTCCACCCTTATTATTTCCACCCCCGAGGCCTATGCCCACCCCCGAGGCTCGTGCCAATGCGACAACTACAGCACTACAGCAGACAGCACTACAGCATTGGCATTATCAGTTCAGACAACAAGAATCAACTGTGAGAGGGTGGGCATCTGCTTGCCTTCTTTGCTCCCTGCTTTCATACACTGCGTCGCCTACAAAAAAATGCACCATGTCCAACCGCGAACATCGCATCGCCGGCGCCGTCGACAGCCTCATCGCCCATCTCGTGCCCAGTGACCCGGACGAAGATGAGGCCGTCGCGCAGGAGAGGTACGACAACTGTTTCGAACTGGTGAATGCCATTATACATGGGTTAGTAGAGCCTGCTTTTTACTACTGCTACCAGATTCTATGATCGACTGAACACTGAACCCTGGACCGATGGTCACGATACTGACGACGGCCCATCGAGACAGTCCCGCTTCACCCGCCAGCTCTTCCGACGTCAACCACGCATCCGACTCGATCAAGAGGAAGCTGATCCAGACGGACCCGAGCCAGGCCCTCCGTTTCTCCAACCTCTACACCCGCCTGCTGTCCCTGCCCGTCCTCAACCAGAAATGGGCAATCCTCCATCTCCTGTACCGGCTCGCCGATTCTCCCGATCCCAACGAACCTTTGCCCCTCAGCCCGCCCCCACCACCACCACAGTCTCGACCGCAACCGCAGTCGCAACCGCAGTCGCAACGCCAGTCACAGTCCTCCACTCGCTCCCAGAATGATGCCGTCTCAAGGAGACAAGAGGAGGCCCGGTCTTCGAGGCCTGCTTCCACCGTGTCCAGGGCGGACGAGGATGTCATCCGTGACGCCTTCGCATCTGAAGCTCTAAACAAGATCCCTCCGCCAAAGCTTCCACGCGCAGTGCCTGCCGCTGCTATCGACGAAAAAAGAAAAGGCTCCCCAGATGAGCCTCCCGCAAGTCCCAAGAGGAGGAATGTGGCACTCAAATCGACCCTGCTAGCAGACAGCTACACCCACATCGACCCCTCCGAGACGGCCCTGTTGCGGGACCTCCCCTTCACCCTCCAGGGTTTATCTTCCACCACGCTGCCCTTCTCGAAGCGAGAGACTACGAGTACCCCCGACACTCTTGTCCTGCCGTCCACCCTGCCGGCCCCCATCATCTCGCTTCTCCATACCCTCGCCGAACCTTCGTTGCTCTACCGGCGCCTGGATGCCTTCGTCAAGTCGCCCGCCCAGGGCCTGCTACGCCAGAGCCTTCGTGCTGCCGTCGCCCAAGAGCTGCGCGCCTACCTGACCCTCGTCGCCACCCTCGAAGGCCAGATCCGCCGCACCCTCTCCACCCTCGACGACTCTGCTCCCAAGGGCGGCATCGGTAAGGCTGGCGTCACCCTGAAACGCTGCGTCGTCTGGACCAGAGAGGCCACCATGGGTCTGCGCCTCATGAGCCTGCTGGCCGAGGAATCCGAAAACAAGAGAGGCGGCCAGCTCATCTCCCTCATCCACGCCTTCTCCTCCTCCCACGGCGACCCCATGGTGGCCGCCTTCGCCGAGAGGCTGCTCGTGCACGTCACAAAGCCCTTCTATGACATGTTGCGCCGCTGGATCTACGACGGCGAGCTCCTCGACCCGTACTGCGAGTTCTTCGTCAAAGAGCCCGCCACCACCACCGCCACCACTACCGCCACCACTACTACCACCACGCGCCGCGGGGCGGAAGACGCCCAAAACGCGGGCGCCGCCGGCAACGTCTGGGAGGACAAGTACGAGATCGACAAGGACATGATCCCCACCATCATCACCCAAGACTTCGCCCAGAAGGTCTTCCTCATCGGCAAGTCCCTCAACTTCATCCGCCACAGCTGCCGCGATTCGCAGTGGGTCGAGGATTACTCCAAGGACGCCTCCAAGGACCTCCGCTACGGCGACACCGAGACCCTGGAAGCCTGGATCGACGAGGCCTACAAGACCACCATGCAGCGCCTCATCCACCTCATGGCCGACAAGTTCCACGTCTTCGAGCACCTCCAGGCCCTCAAGAACTACATCCTCCTGGGCCAGGGCGACTTCATCGCCCTCCTCATGGAATCCCTCGCCGCCAACCTCGACCGCCCCGCCGGCGCCCAGTACCGCCATACCCTCACCGCCCAACTCGAGCACGCCATCCGCGGCTCCAACGCCCAGTACGACTCGCCCGAGGTCCTCCGCCGCCTCGATGCCCGCATGCTGCAGCTCTCCCACGGCGACATCGGCTGGGACTGCTTCACCCTCGAGTACAAGATCGACGCCCCCGTCGACGTCGTCGTCACCGAGTGGGGCAACCGCCAGTACCTCAAGGTCTTCAACTTCCTCTGGCGCATCAAGCGCGTGGAGTTCGCCCTCGCCTCCACCTGGCGCAAATCCATGACCGGCTCCCGCGGCGTCCTCCAGAACTCCGACCCGGACGTCGTCCAGACCTGGAAGGCCACCCGCGCCGTCCTCGCCGAGATGATCCATTTCGTCGGTCAGCTGCAGTACTACATCCTCTTCGAGGTCATCGAGTCCTCCTGGGGCGAGCTCCAGAAGCGGATCCGCCGGGAAGGCTGCACCCTCGACGACCTCATCGAAGCCCACGCCCGCTACCTCAACGACATCACTCATAAGGGCCTTCTCGGCGCCAAACGCGTGGCTCCTCGCGGCGCCCACCCGTCCACATCGTCGGACCCCAACAACAACAACAGCAACAACCCTTCCTCCGCCGCCTCCGGCGAGGACGACCGCACCTCGTACTTGGCGCAGCTGGGCGACCTCCTCCGCACCATGCTGGCCTACCGCGACTCCGTCGACGGGCTCTACTCCTGGTCCGTATCCGACTTCACCCGCCGCCAGGAAGCCGACCTCCGCTTCTCCAGCAACCGTCGTCGTAGTCACCGCCGCCCCCCCTCCACCCTCGACGACGACGACCATCACCACCACCACCACCACACTCCTAGTACCTCCGCCGTCTCATCCGAGCTACCCCTCCTGCAGGACCGCCTCCGCCAGCTCGCCACCTCGTTCCGTTCCCGCCTGCAGATCCTCCTCGGCGACCTCGCCTACCAGCCCGACGTCGACATGCGCTTCCTGGGCGTCTCCATGAACTTCAACGATGTCTACCAGCCTGCGCGGCGGAAGCCCAAAGTCCTTCCGTCCGCCACTGCTGCTGCTGCTGCTGCTGCTGCGCCGGGGTCGGCGTCCGTCTCGGAAGGAAAGGCAGCGGCTGGGGCCTCAACAACAGGGAAGGCGCAAGGAAGTTCTTCCAGAATGTAAAGAAAGACGAACGGAAACGGGGACGAGGGGGATAGCATTGCTTCAGCCGCAAAAGGTGAAGTAAAACAGGAATTATATTCAATCGGAGGGACATTAGGGGCTGGTTTTTCAGCTGGGGGGACGGTGTTTTTAACGCACGACTTTGCTATTTCCCAGAGAGACAAAAGGTATATGGGTTTCCTACTAACTCGGGTAAAGGGGAGAGAGAGAACTTGAGAACCCATCTTGACATAAATCAAGCATCGCGTCTCCATGATTTTCCATCTGGCAGCATTGCCGTGTGAGTCCGCTCTGAATCAGACCTGCCCAAACAACTTCGGGATCTGCAAGACGGCACAATTCAAGCAAGTCGCAAACAAGGGCAAAAATAATGTTTCTTCTTGGTCATAACTATCATGCCATTTCATCGTAGAATCATGAACTACACAGACAGACATTAGCCTCCCCACCGAGGGGAGCCAATCTGGTCGAAAGATGAGTCCCCATCTCAATCCGAAACCTCCTGATCGTGAGGGCCACTATGTTGCCATCACCAGCTGTCTACTCTTGACAGTATTACCACCCTTTTGTATAAGCGAGCATATGGCGCCTGTTTCGCCGATTTCGCCCAAGACCCGAGTCGATGGTGCCGGCAATGCTAAAGGTTCTGTCGGTTTCCCTTTGCCAAGTTGCCGGCACCGCTATAGGTCCAGTCCATCCATGCCTATCCTCTCAAGCGAGGCAGTAATGCTCCGTGATCCGGTACCAATGCTTCCCACAAATCCGCCCTCCATTCCTGGGCGCCCGCAAACTGTTTTAAACCAGAACAAGATTTGTACATGTGAGTGTGCCCGCCAGCACGCTCCGCCGTGTTGGCGGTCATGAATGCCCGATGTCGAGCTCAGATGAGCGCAAACCCGTGCCAATAGATGTTTTGCTTACGTCTCTGGACGAGACGCGAGAAAATAAAAGGAAAGACCGAAGATAAAACATCTTTCTTAATAATGTGATCCGAGGAATGCCGAACATGGGAATGTTTGTTGGATGTTGATGTAAATGGTTTGTCCGTCACGAATCGGCAAGATCCGACTGCGTAACGAAGTCGAGTTTCATTCTGCTCCAACTGCGTGTGGTCCAACGTGTCGTCCTTGAGGAAATAGATGCCTCATCTGGTCGAACCGCGAGTGCACACCCAACTCAAACGGGGTATGTCCCGATCATAGCGTCGTAATGTCGTATGCCAGTAGAGCCGACGTGTCCACTCCGTCTCAGGCCCAGAGCACGCGTCTCCCGACGGCCCAGTCGATATCCAGGGCAGTGAGCCCTCATCTGTCAGTGTCAAAGAACCCCCCCCCCCCCTCTCCAGGGAGGTTGGATCCCGCCCAGTGTACCGTTCAGACATCTGTCATCTCCGTATCTTCATCTGAGCGGCTCGATGGCTCGGGGCCGTTTGCATCATCGGCGGGACCCCATATGCCTTCAAAAACCGTCGCGGCGGCTCGACGACGCTCGGCAACCCAGTTCAGGCCGCCAGATCCGAGGAGCTGTTGAATGGTCGGACGATCCGAAGGATCTGGCTTGGTCATCCACCGAACCAGCTGGTCGAGCGAGTGGGGGTGGAACGAGTCGCACATAAAGTCGGGAGGCGTCTGCAGTTCAGGGCGGCGCCGCGAGCCCGACGAGCCGCTGATGTGAACGTCACCGAAGGCATATTTGCCGTGATTGCCGTCGAAGCTATCCTCGTGTAGGGCAAAGTCGGAAGTGCTAGTATTATGGACAATGGGTTCGTCCTGTGACAGACCCGTCGGCACACCGGCAGCGTCCCGAGCCTGGGTCGCAGTCGTGGCGCTGAAGGTGAGGCTGGGCACTTCTGAGAAGTCGCCCGAACGTAGAGCAATCCAAGAGGGGCCGTTATCCGGAAGAACCACGTTGCAGGCCATCTCCACCATGATCAGGCCGAGAGAGAAGATGTCGGCCGGTTTGTCGAACTTTCCACGAAGGATCTCGGGGCCGATGTACTCTCTATCACCTTCGGCGTCAACACCTTTCGCGGCAGGCCATGGCGTGGCGAGGCCGAAGTCGCCGATCTTTAGAATGCCTTCAAAGGTGATGAAAACGTTGGCAGGCTTCAGGTCCAGGTGAATGAAGCCAGCCTCGTGAATGCTTTGGAGACCCTACAAGTGCATGTCAGCTCATCTGCCCAGGTAGTTGCCTGGTGAAAGGGGAAAGGCAGGAAACGTTTAGATGCGACATACCAGGCAAATATCGTGGGTTATCTTCCAAATGCGAAAGTCGTCCAACCTGCCCTTTCTACCGACATTGCCGAGAAACTTGTCCAAGCTGCCTTCGTCGCAGAATTCCGTCTGGATGAAGAGATAACTATCATGCTCCCAGCTGTCGACGTAGCGAACCACGTGATCGGCATGGGTCAGCGCCTGGAGCGCGCGAACCTCTCTAAGCTTGTTCTCGCGGTCCTTGGGACCCAGGATAGGCCGGCGGCCCTTCTTGACGGCGTAAATGCGGTCGGGTTCCGGGCTTCCGGGAGATGTCCTGCCCGGGGTGCCGTTGAAGATCGACAAGAAGGAGGCGCGCAGCGAGGCCGACTTGACAACCTTGTACACCATGGAGAACTCGCCCTTGCCGACAAGCTCGACGCGGTCGAAGCGATGGAGAAGGGATTCGTCATCACCGCGGGCGCGGGCATTGACAGGGGTCATGAGCCCGGTGCCGCTCGCGTGGAAGGAGTCACGGCCCGAAGGCGTGACCGGAGCCGCCAGCACGGACTGGTCTTCGGTTGACTTGGCAGAGCCCGTCTCCTGCGAGGTGGAGATGGACAGGACGCTGGCATCCGGGAAGGCTAGGCTGGGTTGAGGGGTCGTGGGGCTTCTCCGCTCCACTGGGCTGGCTGCATTGCGAGAGGGAGCCTTAGCAAACATTTTCTTCGCAGAGTTCAACGGGGTCGTGGATCCGAGCCGAGCTCGCAGCGGAGAAGAGCTATGAAACCCTCGCCTGGATCTCGACCCGGCCAAGGACGGCAAAGACAGACGCGGAGGAGGAGAAGGACCGCAGTCTGAGGAAACGGCGGAATGCACGGCGGCTTCCGCTGATCCGTCACAGTCGCCCTTGGGTTCGATGCCTTCTGGAGAACCGTCACACTTACCGGTCGACTCGCGTGGGATCATGGGCCGGACAGCAGATAGAGGTACGAGGATGGTCCGGTTGGCACTGGGGCTCTCGTTTTCGGCGCTCGTCTCCGTAAGGCTGCTCAAACTCGAGGTGAGGCTCTGCTTGGTGGGAGTCGGGGGGACGTCATCGGCGTCGATTCCTGAAGGGGCATCTTCGAGAGTATCAAACATGAGCTTCTTGTCCTCGCCATCCAGGCTCAAGAGGCTGCTCCTGCGGCTGCTACTCCGGGGCCCGAGGCGGTGAAAAAGACCGAGACCTTTGCCCGCGTTGCCGAGAGAGCCACGCTGTTGGGAAGTGCTCGGGCTGAAAGGGCTGGACGGAACGCCAAAGGAAAGGCGACCAGCATTCCGCTTGAAGGCACTGCCCGGGGGCGGTGGGTAGGTGGCAAAGCCACCGTTAGGCTTCTTGCAGGGCGTATCGGGCATGACAAGTTTGTTATCTTCCTCCGGGTTCCGGTTGACCTTGGAAACAAGGCCCGTGGACATGAAGGCGCCAGGCCATGGCTTGACGTCCTTGAAAGGGGTAACGGTGTCGTCCTCCTTGACAGGCGGTCCGCCCAAGCCACAAGGCAGCGACCTAGCGAAATTGATGGGCGCGACAGGCCGAGCGAAGATGGCGGGTGGCACCTTGTCCTTGCTAGAGGCATCCTCCTCCTGCAGGTTGTTGCCACTCGAAGACGTGGTCAGTGATTTGGAAAGAGGGTGCGGTTGTTGTTGTTGTTGTTGTTGTTGTTGTTGGGCACCGCGTTCGTCGGGCTGGACCGGAGCGGCGGGAAACGAAATATTCGAGAAGGGGCTATCGCGACCGAGCTGAGGGGGGCAGAACTGATCGAGCGAGAGGCGTGGTCTGTTCTTGACGTTGGGGGTAGAAAATTCGGACCCCATCTGAGCCAGGTGGTTTGCGGCGGAGCGACGGCCCCAAGATGATCGATCGTGCTGGCGCTGCTGAAGCGTAGATTTTCGGAGTGAGCCGGTGCGACGGGGAATCGAAGGAACAGGCGTCGGTGAAGGAAGGGCCTCCGAGGGAGGGATAAAGCTACTCGTGCTGGAGAGCTCGTAATCGCCGCGGTTCCCGTCGTCGTGGATTTCGAAGCTCGTGTTGGGCGCGCAGGTGCTGCCGCCAAAAATGCTGGTTACGTCGGCATCATTGTTGGCAATGGTGGAAACGCCCGAGACCCCGTGCAAGCTTCGTCGCTTGGCAACCGGGCTGCTCAGGCTGGGTTGATCGACATCCATGAGGGCATCGCTTCGCTTGAGGGCGCCGGAGCCAGGGATGCCGCTCATTTCGGCGTTGCCCTCCAAGGCCTTGAAAATGGCGCGTTGGGTCGAACCGGATACGTCAAGGTGTAGACTGTGCCGCGACGACTTTTCAAGAGGCCTTCGCGGGAGGGAGCTTCTGGGAAGAGGGCTCCGGGGGGTAGACGAGGGATGAGGTGTGGGAGTGTCCTGACCAGCAGATGCAGAAGTGGAGGAAGGAGCAGGCAGCGCGTTCTCCGTGTCATCGGTCGCGCTATGAGTGCGTTTAAGAGGTGATTTGGGCGAACCTCGCAGCCTGGTAAGCTGCCTTGACGAGGTTGAGCCCTGCTTCGCTGTAGATCTGGCCGACCGTAGAGAGAGCTTGAGACCGGAGTTGGGGCGGGAAGAGAAGTTGTAAGGGTTTGTCGGGGGTGGTTGCTGAGGAGTTGTGGAAAAAGCGGAAGAACGGGGAGTCAGAAGTGGAAGTTGCGATGATTGCTGGCCCGGTGTGTGTGATTGTGCGTGGCTCCTCAATGAAATGCTGGGAGAATAGCGCCGGCTGGGTGACTGTTCTGCTGGCGAGTAAGAGCTGCGGGAGCTCTCAGAACTCTGCGAGCCGGTGCGGGCTAAGCTAAACTTGGAAGGGGAACGTGAAAGGGAGCGGCGAAGGCTCCGAACAGATGTTGCGAGCACGTCGACGTGATGAACATGTGTTGGGCTAGGTACGGTGAGGGTACCGCCAGCACCGCTATTAGAGAAGGACATGATCAGGGGTCTCTTTCAAGGTTGCCTGAATTCTTCTTTTCCGTCTTTGGAATACTAGTCCTTTTTCGATGGCGGTTATTATAGGGGTGAATGCACAGAGCGTAGTGTTACGACCAAGGCAACTTCGAAAGTAGGTATACCTATTCAGGTACCCGGGGCTCTAGGTCACTGGTTATGAATGTAACTTGTTGGTGTCAAATCCGTGGCGCCATGAACGCTTTTTGTTTCAAAGGGCGAGATGCTCTGATAAAGAACAAGCCTGATATGCTAGTGGTGGCTTCCGTGGATTCGAATCAGATCTTGCTGGGGCGATATAGCAATGAAAGACGAGCACACTTTCTTCTTTTGCCCTCAGGGTTTGTGCGCAGGTGTTTATTGGACAACAATTTCCAGTTGTCCGCCACTATGCTTGTAGGAAAGGTCGTTCAGTAGAAGCCCTGGGGATTCATGCGCAAGGCTAGCTTCGTAGGTAGCGGGATAGAAGTCGAAGGGCCAGGGTGAGGAGGCAGGATAGTCGAGAGTTGTTGATTTAGAGAGTGTGGGTGGATATGCATAAGAGAGAAAAAGGGGGGAGGCCAAAAGTGAGAGTCGCAGAGCAGTGTTGTCTAGAGCATGGCGCGCAAATCGTGCTATCTCGCAACCAATTTTCCCTCTTTGTCTGTCGCCTTCTACTCCTTAGAGTAGTATATCCACGTCGATGTTACTGTCGCCTTCGCTGTATCTGCCTTTATCGTGGCTGTGGTGAAAGGATTCCGATCGGCGGCAAATGCTGTCTTTCAAGTCATGCCGAAAAGTGTGGACCAGGGGTCTTTGAGCTGTTGACAATGACAGAGGGTCAAGAGTCAAGAATTCAAGAGTGTTGAAGAAGGGGAGGCACAAGGGAGGGGCGATGAAAAAAAGTGGTCACACCACCACCGGGAGGAGATGGTGGATTTGTGGCGAGATGGCTTGGTTGAGAAGGAGAGACTGGCCACTCGACACCCAGGAGGAAAAATGGTGCGTGGTGAGTGGTTTGGGTGTGGGTGTGTGTGGTTGGTGGAGAGAAGGATGCAGTAGGCATGACCGGTTAGGGGGGGATTCTGTGGGCATAACATAACAGTTTTACGTTGCAGTCGCGACGCAGACGTGGTTGTTTACCCTCTTTCCATTTATGGTTAGTGATTCACGTGATGACGCGAAGCGACTCGTCTTGGTATGCGTGGCAATGTGGGGCCCGAGTTAGGCAGAGACAATCGGGGAGCTACTCTAGCGCCTTTAACCAGACATCCAGAAGGCGGAAATCGGGACGCTCTCACGAAAACATCTGCTTAGAGAGGATATAATGTGTCCTCGAGTGGAATGCTTTGAATATCTCCAGGAAAAGTGGTGTTATGGAGTTAATTCTCTTCCCTCTAAAGTCCTCGATTATCATCACACCACAGCGGATCGCACGGTCCACTTCTCGTGGTCCTTGGCATCCATTTACGGTGGAGAGAGAAGTGCTGGAACCCAAGGTATCCGTAACCCAACCGTATGGACGTGGCCGGGAATGACGGGATGGACACGATGACAGCTCCCCAGCGCCCATTGTACGGAGTAAGACATCCTTGTCCTTCTCCCACCTCTGCCCCCTTTCCGGTCTACACGTAGTTTAGTCTGACGCTGGGAAAAGTCATTGGCTCTGCTTCACCTTTCTCTCTCTGTGTACGAAGCACGCTGCAGGGTCCCCGCCCACGGGCCTCGATTTCTTTTCTTTCCCGACTGCCGCCTTCTTCTAAGACCAGTGATCAACGCGCCGCCCAGCAGTGCCCGTCCATCTCGTCCAATCCGTCTCCGTCACCCACCATGACTTCCCTCAGGATCCCCTGACTTCCACATGCCACTTACGCCGTACGTTGTGCGTAGTACTCCGTACAAACGTACCGCCTGCCAGTCTGATCTGATGTGAGAACGTCACCACGCCGGAAGATGACATGGCCTACCTATATTAAGAAGATTCTCACTCTCTTCCGTCCTACAGAAGTACTTCGTATTACTGGTCCTTCCTCCGCCCCTTATCCTCCGTCGTCTTAACCATCCTTCCCGGTCGCCCTCCATTTCCGGTATCAATCTGTCAACAACAAGCAAGGCAATAATAAAAGGAGTATGCAAATATGGACAACGGGAAACGGAATATCAAAACACTCAAAACAAAAACAAAACAACACCACCGTAAGTCCGGAACAACCCAGCACCACCACCTCTCTCCTTTTTCTTTCCTATTTCCCCCACCCCACTTTCAGGATTGTTTTTCCAAAGTTTTTTGGTCTCCACTCGTTGCAGGAGTAAAAAAACAAGGGGCTGTTCGTGTAATTGCATCCAATATCGTACTTCATGCTACCTACCCTCGTAGCGCCCCTATCTCGCTTGTGACACCGCTACTTGGCCCTAGAATGGCAGGCCTTGTATAACCTAGGCCCCTCAAATACGGCTTAGTCAGGGGTTTTCACGGCCGTTGACCGCTTTTCCGGCCATGGTTTCATTCGATTGATTACACCGTGTAATGCGCAATGCGGTGTTGAGCCGATCTTCCGGAGGCTGAAGAGACGTCAACAAAAGCCAATTAGACCAGCCTCGTCGATAGAGAAAAGGGGGGGCGGGGTTGGTCGGCGAAAGGGGACGTGTTAGTTGAGCGACTGAACTTGTTACCATCTGTCTTTGAATCTCCATATCGAACATCACTCTTCCGTTGGCGCAAATCCATCGCAATTGGCAATTGTCGCCGCCACCGCGCAAGGAATTTTTCTACAGCCGACGTCTCACCCGTGACCCGAGCCCGAGATCACTGGAAACACTTCGTCCTCAGCACTTGCATTTCATCCAGAGACATCTCGTCAGAGATTCTCACACAACAAAGAACACCACGCGTCGCTTCGCACAAGCCAGATGACACGGGACGCCTACAGTAATGATCGAGGAGGATGACGAGCAACATGCCAAAGGCATCCCTTGAAACATGTCTCTCTATTCAACTAGATCCATGGAAAGGAAAAACAATAGGACTGTGCATGTCCGACTGTCCGACTGTCTGGCTGCCCGACTCCCATACAAGCTAGTTTTCTCGTCTCGGAACTTGATATTCCATGTTTCTCTTCCCCTCCCCCTCCATTCCTCCGTCCGACTCCTTTCGTCATACCAGGAAACGGAGCCTTCCCCGACGCATAAACAACAGCGTTCATGATAATGAGCCAAGGCCCACGTCAAATTACCGACAGCCAGAGAACATCGACCACTACTATACGCTATTCGTCTAGTCCCCGCCAATCCGATGGGGCTATGCCAGGGAAGAAGAAGTAAATAATATCAATAAAAGAAAAGCATTGGCAGAGGAAATGCTCGGTTTTCGCCGTTGTCTGTCCGTTGCGCCCATTGGCAGGAGACACGTCCAAGACGACCACGTTGTCTTCTATCCTTCCACCCCTCTTTTCCCTCCTAGAAACCTCGAAAGTGAGGAAGCTGGCGAACGCGGGTGCGTACCCTGAGATCAGCCGTGGTTCCCCGGGTATCATAATGAAACAAACTCCCAGAACACCTGGCCCATTCTGATGAATCTTTCCGAGACGTTCATTCTCTAGTGGTTGGTGTGGCTGTTCCAGCCAAAGACAAAAGTTAAGGGGAGAAGGAAGAAGCAGAAGAAAGAAAAAAGGGAAAGAAAAAAGATAAGAAAAAGAAAAACGTCCGTGACAATAGTCACGCTCTTCAGGCAAGACGCGTCCGGATCCATTCTGCCCACTGACAGAGGTCTTCAAACATCTCCAGGGCATGACCCAAGTCCTGAGGTTGAAGTTTCTTCTTCCCTTTCCCTTGCTCTTCCCCTGCACCTACCCCCTCCTGTCCATTCACGTCAGCGCTCTTCTCTTTCTTCTCCTGGTCCTCGCCCTCCTCGGGGAAGATGACGTTTTGCGAAACGACATGGACAGTAGCGTTCGGCTGGATTTGAAGCTCGATGTTGGCCGTCGCATCACGGAACGGGAACACCACGTTGAGGCCCGCCGTCGGATGGACGGACAAGACCACGTCGATGCGGAGTGGGCTGTCTGCCGCGGAGCTCGATTGCTGCGGCCCATCGTCCCCTAAGAAGTCTTGGAATTCCTCTTTCTTCGTGGTTGTGCTCCGCGAGATGATGGATGCGTTATGGGCCGGATCGGTGGCTTCGCCGGTAATGTTAGTGCCAAAACTGCGCGAAAGAAGTCTCGAAATAAACGCGTACTGCCGTAGGACTGGCAGCATGGCCACAACCTGCCGAGGATGCGAAAATGGCAGCTCCGTGATGGTCTGTCCATACACGGGCTTATAGACAAAGAGCGTGTTTTCGTGCCTCCGGGGCTTCAGCTCACCACCCAGCTCCTTGACCAGAACATCCCTTTGGCACGATATGGTGCGTAGTTCACTGGCATCGTGGTTGACTCCTTCCGGAATGGGAAAGGAGATGTTATCGAAGGTCTGAGCAGGCAGCAGCATAGGCGGGGGCTGGGCACCAGCAATTCCATAGAGCGTATTGCAGACGGACTGAGGTACGATCACCGGAGGGTTGAGCGTGGCCACGAACTTGACGTTGGGAAACTTCTGCGTCGTGCCATCGGCTTGCACCACGTCGACCCCAACGCTCTTATTGTCGGGGTTGGAGGGCAGAATTGTTGGCTCAGGTTCCAGCCAATCTAGCACAGGGCCATCGGGGGCCGCAAGGAGTGTTTCCTCGGGGCCCGGATCAGCTTTCTCCATCTTGTCCGAGATCCAGTTCTCTGATACGCGAATGGGCTGGTAAAGCTCTCCGTCCAGGGGCTTACACCCAACGAGGATGGACCAGAACTTTATATCACTGCCTCCTGGAGACGAGAACGGGATGAGGTGTCGGTCTGTCCAATAGTCGATGGACGGCCCTACCTGATCACGGGCGTTCATGGAAGGGCGGCCGCTTTTCTCACACATAACCGCCTTCTCGAGCAGTTGCTCAGATGTAGCCGCCGTCGTCGTGGGATCTTCACGCATCTTCGATAATTCCCATTTATACAATTTCTCCAGGCTTTCGTCAATGCCGGCAATGGCTTCCTGGCAGTCGAGACCAGGGTACACGCTCAGCCTGTCTAAGAGCGCGAGTCGCTCTAGATTGGCCGCAAATTCATCGCAGGTCTTGGTCAGCGGGCTTTGGTTTGGCTGTAGCTGCAAGGCTCTCAGGAGGATCTGTTCAGCTCCAGCCACGTGCTTGGTGACATTCGGCGTCGACTCGGATTCGGGAAACGCCAGTGTAACGCCTCGTACGATGTTGTTGTCGAGGTTGATGTCGAGTTGTAGTCCGTTGCCCGCAACCACCAGCGTCTTGGTTATCCTGCCGTCGGGCGTCCTGTGCTCTTCCCACATCTTATTAAGTCCTGTGCGTAGAGATAGTCGCTCGAGGCCAGCTTCGCTCACTCGTCCTTTGGCTTTCTGTCATGCGTCAAGCATTAGCTTCTTGCCCAACCCTGTAGAGGGAACCAGATGGTGTACAGACCCCGATGATGTCCAGGACGGCGTCCAGTCGCTTGAGCCTCTCGTCCTCTCCGCTCAGATTCCCCAGCCCTCCGAGGGCTCCTACCCCGACATTATCAAGTCCCATATCGAGCCCGCCTCCAATTCCCAGAGCGCCCATAGCAGCTGCAGCCGACGGGCTGTCGAAGTTGAGGGGGCCATTGCCGGGGTGTCCCATGAGAGTCGTCGACGTCGCAGGCGACCTCTTAAATTGCTGCGGAGACGACTTGGGGCCCCGAGGAGAGAAGGCGGCATGAGCGTGAGAGGTTGAAAAGGGGGTAGACACGGGCGGCGTGGCTCCGGGAATCCCGGAGGGAGTGCGACCTTGGCCTTGCTGTGAGGCATTGTGCCTCATCGGGTGATTTGGCGTGGGTGTCGCCATCTTTCATATCAAGAAAGCACGCCTGAGGGAATCCAGCAACCGCTGCTGCTTCTTCGCCTGAGCGACCTGTGATAACGGGTCGGCTTCGGCGGTCGCTTGTGATGAGATGGCGGATATCTGCGGCGAGGCCCCCACAACAGGGCTACCGCGACAATACGCCGTCCGACTCGAGAAGTCCTAAGAATTGAACAGGCAAGAAACGGAGGGCGCACAGGTGGATAGACCAGGTTGGTGGAGAATGTGTGGGAATACGTAGTAGTGGTGAAAGGGAGATGGAGTATGAATAGATTTTGGGAAAGTCCGACAAGTACGATATTACCCTTCTTCCGTACTGCAGCAATTAATAGGTAATACATAAGGTAGTGTCTGATGTCAACATGTCTAGGAATGAAAGTGGAGCCTAATACTCCGTAAGGTAGGTAAGGTAAGGTATGGTAAAGTACAGATGCCCTAGGTAGCTACTAGGTAGGTACCTGAGGTAAGGTAGCCGTGCTACGCCCCGCTGCAAAGTCAGATTTCGTAGCTCGGCCGACTTCACGACTGCACGGGTACTATACGATAGGGGAGAAGGTATAAGGGACTCCCTAAGATTTATTTTTCGATATAAGGGTAGGAGTTACTAGTACCTTATTAAGGCCCCGTTCAACATCGCTTATAAGCTGGCGGAAAACTACTAATATATTATAAGAATGCCAAGCTAATAATACAAGGACCCCTTTTATATAATATTTTTAGTATAACTATATTTTGTATATATTCCTCTATTATCTAGGTACCACGCTAAGTAGGAGGGCCTCTTAGCTTTTTTTAGTAGATTTCTACTAAGATAGCGGCGTTTTGTATATAAGTCCTTACTAGCACCTAAAAGGTAGTAATAAGCAGCGGAAATAATACTAAGATAGGGTCTACTACCAGCCGCCGCCCACAGCGCTATAGGCTACGGCGAGGCTAACGTTAAAGCTATTCGTAACCGTGACGAAGATATTATCGTTAAGCTTACCCTGTGTATCCTGTATAGGATATATCCTGCGTAGGCGGCGTAAAAGCCGCGGACTATATGCCGGGGCACTATTCGGATCCGGTATATTATCCAGGGTCCCTTCTATAATCTATTCTGTACTAATATAACCTAGTTTGGGTGATATACCGGCCAAAAGCTTCCTTCCCAAAGTCTTTTTTTCCTTCTTCTTTTTACATGTTGAGGCTGCTTTAGTCTTTAGTTTTTGTTGTCGTGTCGCGGCAGCCATCCTCGAAATCTTGCGAGGTACAGCATGGTGCACCTCATGGCAGAGTCGTCGTCAAGACGGCGCGACGCTCCAAGAGAAATCTCACATGATGTTCTATCACCAAGGCTTCAAGGTTTGATATGCCGCTTGGTCCATATCCTCGGAAGACAGCCATGCCCATATTTGTCATTTTCTGTGGTGTAGGAGGATATATAATCAGAATCGAGCAACCACAAAGACTCCTTGGGAGACAAAGCCAAGTATGGCAGTGCATTAGACCGAAGGCATCCCCAATGCTTTCACATCAGTATGGTCTAGAGCGCTCCCAGCGATTCTACGACACGCGGCCGAGTCGAAAGGCCCTCACTCTTCAGAGGCACCGGGACAGTTGCAATCTGAGTAGCAATAGCTTTTATTCCCTTCATGAGGTCGTTATTCAAAAACAAAGGTATGTCCAGCAGAGACCACCTAGGGCACACTTTTGTAAAGAAGAAAAAAAGAAAAAAAAAAAGGAGCAAAGTCATAAGGTCGTCAAGTCAAGTGAAAACCCCCTCCGTCAGAAAAGAAGACGTGGCCGCCTTCACCACCCGAAACCTGCCTATTCCATCTCTAGCACATACGCTTCATGCCAGTAAACCGCCTAGACTGTGGTCCCAAGTCGAAAAAGCGCCGGCAAGAAACTGCCCATCGAGGCCAGCGCGATCGTCCCCACCTGAGGATCATGACAGGCAGGGATCCAAGACGCGCGCCGTGCCGCAGCCGTGTGTGTGTGTCTAAGCCAAGATCTTCCCCGACTGTCGGTTCATTGAACATCGTGGTAGAAGAAAAGTCGAGGTGGGTTTCTCCGAGAAAATTAAATCCTTCCGTGCAAAGCGTGAATTCATCAGACATTTACAGCCATGATGAGGCGTTTCGAGACAAACAGAGAATGGTAAATCGTAATCTCGTCGGCGCGTCACGCAGAGATGCCCTATGGACTTCTGTCGCAACAAATACAAAAAAAAATGGCAAAGAAAAGAATAGTAATGATAATAAAGGAATGTCAAGGAGAAGTATCGTATCAGGACTTCTCGTCTTGCCCATGCGTGTGGGATCCAATCAAGATGAATCACATCTGACAGCAAGGTCGAAACTTTCTAGATGCTGCGCTTCGACACTGCAAATGCGTAAGAGGGTGTCTGTGTCCATGTTGAAACTGTGTGAGCGGAGTTTGCTGAGCGGGTCAGAAACCTTATCTGTGCCTCGTCGGGGCGACGGTTGCCGTAGCAGGCCGGGCCAAGCTATCGTAACCGCCTGCAGGGAGTGTCGCGTCGATTAATGTCTTTCTCCGCTTCATCTCCATGTTCGCTCCGCCAGTTAAAGGGCGCTGCATGTCGTCTTCGTCTTCGCGGCCCCGTTTCATGCTGCCGCCGCCATTCATCATCGACTGCTGCGATGGATAACCATTCGACATGGAGTTCATGTCAGCCGGGGGAGCATAAACATCGCTACCGTTCCCGTTCGTCGCGCTCCGGTCATTGCTCATTACACTGTAGAGGTTGCTCGAAGGCTGGTGCTGCACCCTGGGGGATGTGTTGTATGCTGGCTGCTGAGAATAATAAGGCTGGGGCGGGGCGGCTGTACGCGGAGTTGCGCGACCGGACGCTTGAGGGTGGTTGGGAGAGCCTGTCATTTCAGGAGAGAGATGCTGGTGTTCCGTGGACAACGGCGGCGGCGCGTAATTGTAGGAGGAACGGTTAGCATCATAAGCACCGCTATCATGAGTATATTCCGTCTCATGTTCATGCTCAGCCTCTTCCTCCCCAGCGGCATGCGGTGCGTTCTGACCACTCTGCTCGGGGGGAGGGACGATGCCGTTGACGGGCTTCTGCTCCGAGGCAGACACGTGAACTGGCGGCCGTGACGATGGAGGACCCATGTCATTCTTGCCATATCCATCGTGATGTCCGTAGACAGAACGATCCTGCGGGGCAGGATTCGCCTGCTGATACGGGGAATGCTGGGCCGAGGACGGGTTATACATGGGCCTCGAGTTGTCATACTGCTGAGCTCCGGATTGGTAAGATTGCATGCTCTGGATCGTTGTGCCAGGTGGAGTAGATGCCGGGGTGGCCGGCATCGAACGCGCATTGCTAAGGCCCGTGTCGATAGACATAGGATTTGTGCCTTGGGTTCCGCCAATCCCCTGTGATTGTGGCGTCCACTGGAAGCCGTCGGAGGACCCCATGCTACTCCCGATGACGCTCGAGGCACTTGTCGGAGGCGTGGGGAACGTGTGTGCTCTGTCGAGCGCCGGGCGGTTCAAATTCGAGTGAGATGGGAGGGCCTGCTGTGGACCTGGCAGAGCCAGGGTATGGTGATGATGCTGTTGAATTGGTGCTAGTCCAGGGCCGGATTGCGAGTTGCGCATCTGGCTTTGCTCCTGTTTCCTGCGTTCGGCCGATGCCATGACCTGGCTCGTGCGATTCTGGTTGGTGGGGTGGTAGAGGAGAGCGCCGATATTGTGGACGAAAAGAGGATACAGCATCTCGGTAATCTTTTCCTTGTTGGCAAAATCCAGAGCCCTCTCAAAGGGAATCCTACACTGCATTAGCCCGAGGTGGCAGGTAGAACAACGTTCTCATTGCGCGCTACTCACCAGACTCCCTTCAGATGCATGGGCCCGATTTTGACCACGTGTCTCACTTTCTCGCTCTTCAGGATTCCATCTCTTCGGCCACGAGTCATTCCCGCCACGTTGAGCAGTTTTGTACCGTTAATCATGCCGTTGTCTATCGAGCAGCGGTTAGATGAGAAATACCCTGCCGTACGGTTTCCACGTTTCGGACGGGATGCATACCTTCACGTCGGGCGACACAGATACCTCTCGCCTCAACCTGGAAGCACAAGCTGCCCTCGTCCTCCCAAAGAGTCGCCGTCACGCGGGGTTTCATGCCCGGCGGGGCAACTTGGCCGGTAGTATCCATCCCCTGATATGTGTTGGTTGTGCTGGCTCCAGGAAGCGGAAGAACGTTCTGAGCCGGGCCCATGCCGTTCGGTACATTTGGCGGGGCATTTTGCGGGGATGTGAGCCCATTCGCATACGGATACGGCTGGCTATAATGCGGCGGGGGAGGCGGCGGATACTGGGCGAGGTGGTTGGGCTGTAACGCCGGGGGCTGGGAGTGATAAGGTGCCATGCCCCCCGAAGTGACGGTCTGAGGCGGTTGCGCCTGTCCCGCAGACATATGTTGCTGATAGTACATGTCGGCTGCTGATTGATTCATGGTCGAGTAGTGATCGTAACCTCCAAGAGGCTGGGCGGTTGACCCAGGTATCGCCGGCCCAACTGGTAACGAAGGGGAAGGAGTCTTGGGCCCGTGAGAGGAGCCGGCCGAGGTGAACGAGGACTGCGACCCTGCGTGAGAACTCCAGGAATCCACGGAGCTAACCCGTGGAGACGAAGTACCCGAAGAATAGGCCTGGTGTGGGGCGGGCAATGGCAAGGGCGGCAGTCCCTCGCTATTCATGTACAGAGGCCGATGGTCGGACGCGGAGCTGAAGTATGAGGAGTCGCTCAAACTCCGGGTTTGTACTTGTGATATCGGCGGTAGATCCAGTTTCACGGTATTGACCCGGAACTTGTAGCTCCACTGCTAAGGCGTAGTGGCTTCGTGAGCAAATGACGGTCGCAAAAATTCAAGCAACCTAGTCTCACCGGGCAAGCGAAGAGACCAAAGATGGATTTCTAGACAGCGTCAACGGCTGAGAGAGACAAGACTCGGCGGTAACCAAGTGTATGCCACCAGGTTTAGCAAGAGAGAAGAGGTTCGACGTGAAGTACGACTTCTCGTAAGCTAACCAAAAAGAAAAGAAGAAAAGCAAAGAGCAAAATCCAAAAGGCCAGACAGGAAATGAACCGTTGTCGTTCTCAAGACAGCGACCAAGGCGATCGTGACTCGTCAAAAGAAGGCGTCAAGGTCAATGCTCAGTGAAATCGTAGCATCTAGCGAACTGGTCGTTGCTGAGCAGTACCGGGTCGCCCACTGTACTCGAAAGTCGGTCGACGCAAGGTGAAGTGGGTCCTGGTGGAAAACGGAAAGAAGACGATCTCTGTGTGTGGGTAGCCCTCTAGTAAACTGAACACTCGAGGCGTCGCTGGTCGATGGCCGGAGTGAAAGCGGGCTGAAGCGGAAGCGAGAGGAAGTATGTGTGAAGAGGGAAAGATGATAGAGAGAGAGAGAGAGGGCGGGTGGTGGTGGCAGCCAAGTGGAAGAGAGTGGGTTTCGTTTGGTGCGGTCAACTCTCAAGGCCAAGACGGTCAATTTAGAGATACACGCAAACCAAAAACACCTGGGTGAAGAGCTTTCGTGACGGCTCGACTTTTTACTCTCTAATCCGCATGCAGGCACATCAGCTAAAGATCCGGGTGCTAAATTGGAGATGCAGGAGAGGGATGTGCATTGCAGATGGTGAGGAGTAGGTAGTTAGAGGCAGATGACGGCGAGAGGTGGGACGGGCATGTCGGCATTGTAAGCGAAAGAAAAAGAAAGAAAGAAAAAAAACTCACCTTCCTCACCTCTCTCGCGGAGGGTACGTCCTAGTCGGAGGGGTGGAAGGGGGAGGATAATATTGGGAGGTTGGTGCAATCGTGAAGGAGGAAGGAACAGGAAATGTCCGGGCAAAGGACGGTTTTGTTTTTTTGGTGCCCAGGAAAAGTATAGAGAGGAAGTGAGCCAGCCAGGAAGGAGCCAGGGACCACAGTATAGAGGGAGGATAGTGGAGGAGACCGGGGAGATCCCAAAGACGACAAGCCCACCCCTGGTCGTAATGGGGTGCTTGTATCAGGTACTTCTTCTTCTTCTTGCCTACAACGTACATGGGTGTCGGGGAAGGGGGAAGTGGTGAGGACGAGATAGAGGGAGGAAAGAAGAGGATAGAGGAGCCGGGACCGAAGTCTGAACGAATACAACGTACCTAAGGTACTTGTTCTACCGGGCATCAAGAGAGGCCCGGTACCTTTACCGCGTGGGCATACCTATGCCAACCACCTACGAAGCCTGGATGGTAGTGGTCGCGAGTGCCGTAAGACCGGGGTGTTTTAGAGCGAAAGCGAGAAGAGGGTCGACAAGGTTTCGTGCTCCGATTAGGATTAGCACAGGCGAAAATCGGTTCTTTCTAGTGTGGCCAGCCTGTCAGGGAAGAGGAGCGGGTTCTGAGGCCGGGTGAGGTGTGGGGTCGTTTCTCTTTTGCTTTTCCGTTCTTCTATCTATCTACCTCACTTGGCTCTTTAAACTTAGGAACGGAAAGTTCTATTGCTTGATTTTACCTTCTGTTTTTTTTTTCCTAATCCCGGCTGGGCTAGTGAATTGGGACCGCTTGGTCTTGGGGTGGTTGGGATGCCTTTGTTGTCGCGGGATGAGAGTCGGTAGCGATCTCAAGATTCGATGGATTTATTTCGTAGAGGCACTGAAAGTACGTACCTCCAAGGCAGACTTGGTCGCTGGCAGTTTGGGCTGGTCCGGTTGTAGACCGTTGTACGTTGTAGTTATCGTATGTATCTAGTACCCCTTGTCCCTCTCAGCCAGGGTCTGCTTTTTTTGACCTTTCTCTCTTCTTTTTTGGTTCTTTCTTACACCGCCGCTTTTCTTTCTCTTTCTGTTTGCTTTTTCTTTCCTGGCCTTCCAAGTTTCTACCCCACTGGTTAACTTCGAAGTCCTGACTTTGAATCATTCACTCCCTGTTTATCATATCTGAGGTTCGTACATTTCCACGAGGTCAATGTTCTTCGACGTTTATTCCAGTCTGGTGGCGTATGTATGGCTGTACGCCCCACCCACCCTTCCCCCCTCTCCCAATTGAAACTGAAGACGAACAAGTCCCTCGAACAGTAGGACAAGTCACGATGTACTGTACTTTCGAGTGGGCAGAGTGAGGGGAAAAGTGAAAGTACTTTGTATTGGTCGCTTCCCTTGGGAGCCCGTCCTCGCGCCAGGGCCCTTTGAGGACCGGGGCGCCAGCAAATCCAAATGGGAGGAGGTACATTGCCTAAGGTACTCTGCCGGTTACCAATAAAGGGGTGTGAACCGAACAGGCCCATGGTTGCACCTCCTCGTACTCCGGACTGTACTTGACAAGGGTCTTTTTCGTACATCGTGGGACGGATGGACCACCGGGTGGGGGGACCGGGGCCTCCTCGACCAGGGACAGGAGGAAGGATGTGCGCAAGCCAATCTCACTATTCTCAAAGTGGAGTAAAGACGGGAAAGCAAGGCGGGGGGCGTTGAGGACATAGGTATCAGGGTCGCCGGTGGCTGATGTGCCTTTTATCGCGACCCGCCAACGAACTCGTGTGAGTTTTGTATCCTAATACTGTACGACGGGGCCACGAGCCTTGTGTGCTTCGTACGTTGTAGGAAAAAGGAAGCAACCTTCGGTTCCACGAAGCGATAAAGTATTCGGAGTATTCGGAGTATTCGTAATTAAGGGAAGGGTTGAAGGGGAGAAAACTCGACGCGTTTACGGATTGTCGATCTTCACAACATTATCGCTAATAGGAGCAGAGAAGTCACCAGGGTTCTCCGGCTTCGTCAGAGACACAATACACCGCATTCGGCTCTTCTTGCGCCTTGTTCGCATAAAGAAACCGACGCATCACTTGAATTTTCAACCTGGTAGTGACTGTGTTTTAAATCACAGTTGAGCGTTGGATAGGAGAAACCTCTCCCTGTTGTTCATAGAACGAAGAAAAGTAAGAGCAAGTCTTCGATCTCCAGAACCCTCACACGTCCTTACTGGTCACATCACTTACTTGGACGCGCCGGGGCTTAATTAACCAACAGGTTTGGCCTGAGGCTCAGGACACGCTTGTTTCAATCCACCAATGCTTTGTCTTTTGCCCCTGGCCCGGACGATAAATGCCAACGAGCCTTGAACATAAGGGAAGCTTTCTTGATGACCGTCATCCTACCGATGCCGCCCGATTAGGTGTCCTTTTGTTCTATCATGCTGTTCTCCTCCCCGTGTTCTAACTATGCGAAAACTTCAATGGGTCTGGTTTATCCGCAGCGCCTCCGCCGTCTGCATGCAGCAAGGCTACAGCCTTGTTTCTACCTCATGTTTGACAACTTGGAGGCTCTCCATCCGCAGGTACTAACTCTAATGAATGAAATTGGGCCATCTGGAGTGTCCCTTGACTTGGTTGGTCACTTTTTTTCTTGCCACTTCGATTCGCCTTATGATCTTCTCCGAAGGAAGCCGCTCACCTCTAAGCCTCTCTCACAAGCCACGCAACTTAAAGGTTCTTCGCCGCCCTCGCCGTTGGCATACCTGCTCTTAGTGCCGTTCCCGTTGTCGGTTCCGAGTCAATCCTAATATACATGCTATTTCGGACCGTCCTCCTCAGTGTTCTCCGAGATCATCATCGTGTTGCACATTTTATATCTACAATCGGCCAGGTCCCTATCCGCTGGTCGTTTTCTGTTTCCACTGAATCAGTTGGACGACAGGCGATGCATGAGCTCGCTCGCAGCCAAACGTCGGGGACTGCAGGTGAGCTGCATTGGCGTCATGTACGGGGCATGCAATGTCGATGTGGATGGGCAGCAGGACATCGCAGCACGTCAGTACCAGGTCTGGGACCATCTGCTTCAACTTCTTCGCCATGCCTTGCTCGAATATTTCAGTGCGAAGTAGAATAATAATTACCCATCACTCCCCGCGGGGGCTTGCTCTCTCGACACGCCTAGTGAAAACTGGGGACTTGGATAATATCACGAGCGACAAGCCACCTGTTTAGTCTTCCCTGCACGGGTCCGTAAAAAAGGTACGGCATGACATGCCACTCTAGCTCCCTAGCGGAATGCGCCTGTTTCTGCGGGGCGATAATTCAGGTTGCTGCAAGCTTCCGTAGCGTATTTAAGCATATTGCCCTAAGGTACGGAGTATTGAAGTCTCAACGAGGAACAGAACGGAGGCGGCCACAGACAAACATGGAGTAATCGATCCGTAGGCGCTGTTCCTCACAGAGATTTGGTAGGGACGCGGTAGTCGTCTCTTCGGCCTAAATTGATAATCACCGAGATATGAGGGGTTCGGACCAATAGCGAAGGGTCACGATCATCAACTTCCTTTGGACCATTTCCTTCAGGTACCTTACTCTAAAATGAGGTATTTACGAATCTACAATTGCTGTTGTTTTTGCGGATTAGCTGGAATAACCTGCTTGAATTCTGCCGACCGAGATCCGGCTCCTTTTACAGTCCACTCGGAGTCGTTCGCGTCTTCTCTTGCATATATGGAACTTATAAACGGGGATGGTAGCTGATAACGCTCAGTAGACAATTATAATTATCACTCCGTAGTACCTTAGGTACGTAATTGAGCTAGTGTACTGCAACTGACGGCAGTCTTGAGCCTCATTATGCACGACATTCCTGGTGTTTCGGATCTACGAAGTACATACACATACCTACATACATACGTGCCTTCGGACCGCGATTGATATTTTTTCCACCGCCAAAATAGGTGGTGATGCAACTACGGGTATAATTTTGCCGATCGTGCTCAACAATAACCTCCCCTGTACGGAGCCCTGCTTTTATCAGGCGGACAAAGTACCTACGCCACCATCTCGGCACAAGGCTTGAGTGCATCTTCAGTCGGAAAACAGGCATGAGCCGCTTGTCCCGGGGCGACTAAGCGTGCCGTGCCTTTTTTTCTTCTTTCGAGTTGGAAGAACGGGCACTAATGAGCTTTGTACAGGTCGTATGGTGTATCCGCACCGACGGAATACGAAGACCAAGGCGGTCTGGAGTCTGAATCAATCAAGTGGGTGGAAGAGAAACCACGAGAGAAACTGTCAGCCAACTGCTGGGGTGGCGGCAGACAAAAGAAACGAGTTCTTTGTGAAAGAAGATACGATTCCCGAATAAAATCGCCCGTCGATGGATAAGGCGCCTACGAAGTAATTAGGTACGTAGCTTTGTTAGGGCAAGGTAAGCTGTATGATCCAGTAGCGTCAGGGCGAGCGACTGGAAGTTTCCACCAACGTCGGCCGAGGTGAGACAAAGCGCCATGTCTCTCAAGTTGAAACGTCATTGTCGAGCGACGCAGGAGGCTGGGAAAATATTACCTTGCTTGGACTGAATTCAAAGAAGCAAAGCTGTGGACAGACCGCAGATACCGACCACTAGGTGAGGCCAAGTGGACCAAGTGCGCCAGCACAGGCACCGGCACCAGTCTTCCCCAGCCTTCCCCAGCCTTCCCCGGCCTCTCGGCCGTCGGACACCTCCTGCTTTGCAAGCTACGAAGTAGTTATTTCTCATTCTGTAGGTATAGCCTCTTGACCTGCCTCCCGTGGACGAGATCGCGAAAGAGTTAAGACAGGGTACAGGGCACGTGAAAAGGAGGTTGGCCTGAGCACTTGCATAAGCCCACTCGCTGCAAGGCGGCTAAGTACGAAGCTATGTTAAGCACTGGGCGAATGAGAGCCCGTGGTTGGCGGCTATGGACAGGGGTGGCGGGGGCAAGCATTTTAGTCCTCCCGGGACTACCCGGGCGTGGTCGTAACCCAAGGTACTGATATCTTGTACCTAAAGTACCCACGTACAACGTGCATTAAGTACCTAAAGGTATTATAGGTTTCCTACGCGACTTCGCACCACTCCGTCGTGAGCAAGTCGATCGCACTCCGGCTCGGAGCACGACAAGCCTTGCTTTTTGCTTCCTCTTCTCGTAGAGGAACCAATATCCAGTCGCGTTAATCAGTCACTGCTAGGACCGCAGTGTTCGACCGGCCCTCTAGATCCGCCGGTCCCTGACGCGCCTTGTCGATGTCAAAAGTACAGCTCCAGCGGCATCGTCGGCGGCTATAGCCCGTGCTGCCTCTTTAGGCACATTAGCTCTCCCGCCCCTCTCTGTCCTGTCTCCCTTCCAAATGCAAGGAACAACCATAGACTACCTTATTACTCTGCTACGGGTATTAGATAATAATTGCATGAGCGATTCTATTTATGAGTTTGGACTGCGGCTCGATGCTACACTCGGCGAGCGAAGTTGGAACGGTTATGGCAAGCTGCTTGTCCATAGTACTCCGTGCGAAGTATAAGGTACATACAAAAGTTTCCCCGAATCGTTTCATCCCGCTATAACCCTGTCCTTCCTTTATATTCAGGGTATAATAATAAAGCACTTTGAACTTGGTGGGATTCGTCGGATTATCATGGAAAATCCAAGGCGACCTCTAGTCAGGCACAACGCTTAGCGGAGCAACCCCAAGACACAGGAAGGATTAATTAGATAGGTAGTAGCTGATGTTCTATATCTCTCCTTCGTCGTCAGTTCTGGCCGTAATTTCTACTCCGAGGTGATACCAGCCCGACCGCGAAGTGGCATCTAGCGGACTCGAGGCTCGCTGTTGCAGCATCGCTTCGTACAGCTTCCCAGAAGCAGCACGCCGACTGGAAACAGATGTACTCCGCAATAATTAACGCGCTCCGAACATACCTTACATAAGGTACCTGACTAATTACCTTACTCCGTACTTCGTACAAAGTAAAGATACCTTCTGTCGTTCCACGACGAACACTCCCTTCCCTCCCCACCAGAAAGCACACATTGAGGCGGTCGCATTTGGGGTCGCTGTCGTGGCCCTCGGACAGCTGCTCTTCTTCTAATCTACGAAGTAATTAGCTTATCAGCTCCCGTTTCCGTCTCAGCAACCCGGTAGCTCATAAGACGGTAAAAGCAAGCAGGCGAATCACAGCAATCCACGTTTCGGCCAGCCGGCCACACAACCCTAGCCTAACCACCATTACGATTCTCCTTTCCCCTCCCAGTCTCACCCCGTCACCATGTCTATGGACCCAATCAAGAAGTATTCCGCCACCGACCAACCACCGTGACCGGGCCAGCCAGCTTCTGGCAAACCTGGCGATGCGCTGGCGCATGCTCTCGCGATTTGGATTGTCTGACGAGCTGGCACCACAGGACGAAGATTGTCATCATCCCCCAACTTCCTTCTCTTGGATAATTAGTGGGCAACGATCGCTCCCCTATTAGCACCTCGCGTCCCGTGACAGTATCCGTTGGATGATCCGCGGGCAAATGTTTCTCACATCCTTGAAATAGACCCGGGCCAGACCGGCTTGTGCTTTCGTCGTTGTTTTGCAGCCATATAAGGCTTCGGTGCAGTGGTAGCCCCCCCCCCCCCCCCCCCCCCCCCCCCCCCCCCAGATCGATCTCTGCACGTGCGGACCGTTACCCGCATTACATACTCCGTACATCCAGTCGTTTACTAGCAGTGTGTCGTCGCGGCCATTAATGAACTCGTCGCGAACCCACCGACTTGGAAAGCCGCAAGTGCGTTGTACTCCGTAGGGGGTGCTTTAGGTGCCCAGATAAGGAGTATGTACATCAGGTTGGTACGGAGTACGTGGTGCGGCTTCTCTTGGACAGACACCCCTCGAACAAACCCCGGATTCTCTATCGGTGCCCCGTAAGTTCCCTCGCAGTTGGAAATGCGAAATGCACCCCGACAGGCTCTCATGCGGAGGTAGCTATTTCGCATTTGAAGATCCCATGTTTCTCGCCCTGCGCTGGGCACCATAGTGGACTCGACTACGAACTCTCATCACGCAACACACAAGACACACACACATGCACACCCACACACAACACCATATAGGAGATCCTTAAACGAAAGGGTCCTTTTTGAAGGTGCAGGGTACAAGTAATCAACCATTCACCATGTCATCGGACACATGCGTTCCACGCGGTCATTGTCGCTGTTCGGTTGATACAGTACCTCACTTATTAGGCTTAGCGCTCTCCTCACCGCTACTCTTCAGCCTGTTTAGAGACACCCCTCTTCCCCTCTTTTGGCCTGCTTTTGTTTCCCGAGCATACCTAAGGTAAGAATGTGAACGAAGTACCGGTACACGTTACTTCTACCTTTGTCCGAAGTACCTCGGCGGCCCAGACGCGGAAGGGCCATTCTGCCCTGCTAACTCGATCCATCTCTCCTGGTTTGTACGAGTACTCCGTGTACGGCTAGCGCTTCGGACTGAGTACTATAAGGTACGTGGTTGGGCGATCAAGACGGGGATGGGTTGGTATCACTTGGGGAGTACCTTAGATACATACATACATCACATATAGGTATATGTACTTCGCCATTTCCGCAGCATTTCTCCAAGGCATTTGACGTATCTACGACGCCGTAGTCACCGAAGATTGATGAGAAATATAGAGAGCCGCGGAAGACTTTACGGCTGAAGTCTTCAAGCTATAACATGTACAGTTAGTTATGTTTCCTGGTGAAGGGAATGAGTGCAGTTTCAGGAAGTCCGCATTTCGCCGGGGGAGGTGATAGGGGTTAAACTTGCTCCTCAACCACACACAGCACGGCACACAACACGCCCACGCAAACCACGGCCAGGTCTGCGCGAACGGCGGGGCTACCTTAGTTGGTGCACATATCACATATCCGTACAGTACTTACGTACATACTCTGCACAACGTATGTAGGTATGTACGTGTACGTGTACATGCCATGGTCCGTAATTATGGGGTGCATTCAAAGAGAATCCTCAAGGCCAGGCCAGTGCTTGGAGGTTTTGTTGTCACGTTTTGTTTGTCGGGACACTTCGATTTGGGACCAAATGCAGCCAGTCTTAGACCTCAAAATATGCGGAGTAATCATCGTGTAGCCGTAACGCTGGACATCTTCGCCCTTCGAACAAGGAAAAATAATCGGTCCTCCATAGAGTCTGACGTTGCGGGGAGGATGGGCAGAAGACAATCTTCCCAGACCAAACGATGTGCAGCGATCGGCGAGTAAACTTTCCCGGAGACAAACAATTACATACAAGGGTAGATGGGGACAAAGCCAAAGGCGAAAAAAGGGGATAAAAGCAATGGAATCAATCCATTTTCCGTACCAGATCGAAATTGATCTTAATATAATTAGAATCTTTGATCGAATGGAAGTGTATATGAATCAGTTTATTTTTATTTCGTATTCGTGCAGCATACATACGGCATTCAAGGTAACATGCACGCCATGAGGAAAGGCACGAAGTAATGGGGTGTGGGCCCTCTTGATTGATGTCTCTGTCCTCGTCCGTCATCACGCCGGGATGTTTCCCACGGGAGACCCGATTACTGGGCGGTGGACACTGAATTCCTATGTATTACATACAACGTATGTTGTCGGGAAGGCTGCATGTGTGTACCCTCCGCCCATGCGCTTGAAGATCTGTTGAAAATCGGTGTCCGACATTAGCTTAAAGCGCGCACGAGCCGGCGCCATGCTGTCAGTCCGGTCTTGCGTCTCTGGGGCTCGAGTTTGGAACGTGTTTGCATCTACGGAGTGGCAGAACAGGGCGCTTCCAGGAGAGTTTAATTTATCAGAAGCAGAAAAACGAGACAGGATGGGTAAGACAATATGCAGCACTGTGCGTGGCCATGTGCGCCTCTCTGCACAACAGCCAAGTAGCTAGGTTCATGTCCCGAACAATTACGGCGCCTATGTAGGCATTTACTTCGTAGGGTTCCATTCATATTCATGTTCTCCCTCTCTCGATGGAATATTCTTTGGGAAATCGAGGTCTACAAGAGAACGGGAAAGATCAGTGATTCTGCGGTGTCCGTTCCTGTGACCCACCCACCGCATCTCAAACTTCGTACTGTTGTACAGTATTACTTCGTAGGGCAGCACAGGCTCATTTTGGGAATAATATCTCTCAATTCCCCCCCAGCCCCCTTTTCCCCACTAATTATCCATAAACCGCTCATCAGCCCGGTGCTCTCCAACGCAGTTCCGGCCGAGATGTTCGTCCCTTGCCGGTAGCGTGATTGGCAACCTTGGCGGGAGATGCACACAAAGCGAAAGATGGCGGGGGAAGATACTCGAAGGGAGGTCGGGGCATGAAGGAGACGGAAGAAGGAAGAAAACCAGAAACAGCAGTACCGCATGGAATCTTTGAACCTTACGTTGTATGCGGTTCGGCACGCGTATCACCTTTACCTTATTATTATCTAGCGATCGATCCATTCCTCGTCCTTGTGCGCTCGAGCCATATATCAGGGATTGATTTTGATATTTACCTCCAACCGTTCACGGCGAAAAGGAGTTACCTACCCTTGCGGTCGTTTTAAGGTGTTGAGATGCTAAGCTATCCGTGATGTGTCTGACTGATCATGCCGGTAGACGAGAGACGATGCGCATAAGGGACGCGCATGGCATAGCATGACATGGCATGACCTTGCGCGACATCGTGTGGCGGGCCGCCGGTTGATAGGATAACATTGAAGGAGCCCGGAATGGTCCCTGCATGACCAACACAAGGTAGGGGGGCCAACAGGACGGACGTGAGAGTGAGAGATGATGAGGTGCAACCCGGGTCTCTCACCTCGACCTTCGACCTCAGACCGATACACAACAGGAGCTGCTGTTAAGCACGCATTCCACATCCAATACCCAACCAATGTCACACTAGCTCGAGCTCGTTGTGCCGGCTATCATCCATTCAAGACTTTCACCCCCTTTAAGCCGAACTACCCCGACATCGATCTCTGCGTTCCACGGAGATGACAGTGGACAAGCACCAAGTATTCGTACCAGACACCTTCGGGGGTTAATGGGGTTGGTACTGTGCATGAACCGCATAGGGCAGCACCGTTCGTGGCGACGACCTTCAAGTCGAGACGAGTTTAGTTATTGTTTGCCCAAAAATCCACCCGGTGTGACATACGAAGGCGCCAATGTCAAACCACCGAGTCCGAACTTTGCGGATCTTATTTCCACTTCCGCCTAATTTTAAACTTGAAGACACGGGCAGGTGTCATGGGGGGATGGAATGGATTAGGGTGAAGCGACCAACAATGCGGAGGACCTTTTGTCTCTCTTCTCTCTTCCCTCTCCCCGCGGCCCCCCACCACCATCACCACTCTGTCCACACCTAATATTTCGTAGCGTTATCTGCTGGGGTGGTCAGCCACATGGCAAGCTCACAGCCTGTCCCTCCGCCCACCCCATTCGCAACTCCCTCATTCCACAACTCAATTTTGGCGGTGGGCGAAGTCACAAGTTGTCTGGTCGGGCCGAAGGACAAGCTATATTCCTAATTCTCAGTATACGCCTAATATTTGTCATTAATTAGAGCCGGCATTTTGAGCCAGAAAGGAGAATGCACGCAGACTAGGTAGTATCGCCGGGGGGGATAACTGGTAGCCCGTCCAGGTGGCGTCAGCTCGTTGGCGGTAGAGAAACAGTTGACCTCGAAATGGGGGAGGGGGTCGGTCAAGGAGGGGAAAAGGCAGCGAGCGGCGGGGTTCCTGATAGTGCGAAGTATCTCATTACCTTATTTACCGTGAGAAGTAATTACTCCGTACATACAACGTACAACGTACAACGTCCAGACGCACAGAGCGTGCCGCCGCGGCCTCGGCCCAGCCCAGGGGGTTCTAGATGGCTGTTGTGGTGGATGTATCTCACAGGATGCAGCGGGCGGGCGGGAGCGGTCCCCCGTCTGCATGACAAGACATTATGTAGACATGAGAACCTCGGTCCAGGGATGTACGAATACATACAGCTTTGCTGCAAGAAAGGGACGAAACTGGGGGCAAAGACGATAGAGACCAGGGTTGAAGAACAACAATGGCATTGTATTCCAGTGGAGACGTTGGTAATGTTGGGCCGCTAAAAGCTAAGCGATGAGGAGACGAGACGAGACGAGACGCTACGCTACGATGGTGAAAAGTGGCTGGCCGTGGGGGTTGGTTTGTGCAAACGAATTTAGTGTTGAGCTTACGTACCTATACGTGACTAGGCCGTTGAAACCATTTATTACGAAACTACCTAGACGGACGACGAAAAAAGACTCCGTTTGGACGGTTCAATGGCTCAAAGTGGATGAGGGTTTTGTGCTGTACTTCGAACGGTACATATTCCGGAGCGATGAGGTACATACTAAGGTACACACACCTACACCGTTCATGTACACATTGCCATTGTATCAGCAAACCCGCCAAGGTACTTAATTATGTAACATTACCTTAGTGAGGATACAGGTACAGATACATCAAGAGCTTCTTGACGCACGCTGAGTGTCATGTGACTTCGTGGTTCAGACGTGACGGAGGCATTACTGGCGTGACGCCGAACACACTACACTGGCCAGCCACATCGTGTTTCTCATCCCTTTGCACGGTTGACTCTCGCTAATATCAAACAAGCAAGCCAGCCTTAATGAGCCCAGTGATTGGTTCCGAACCTATTTTGTCGACAACCGTTGCGGATGCACTCGATTTCTCTCACCCAGGACCAACCCCTATTCAATTTCCACGGCAATGCCACCTCCAAAATCTTCTCTCCCGCGGGCACCCGAACCCCGGTTCTCCCGGTCCTTCGACCCCTGGAACTCGTCCTCAACTGGTCACCAGCGCCCCGAGGTCCGCCCGACCGAGGGCTGGCGGGACAACCGCAACCGCAAGCTCATGTCCCAGTTCCGCGGCGGCCTGTCGGGCGGCGAACGCCTCAGCGACACCGTCGGCGCCGGAAGCGCCGACTTCGATCCCAAGCTCGGCATGGTGGTGCCCAGGGCTCTTCGGGCGCGCTCTGCCGTCAGCGTCCGGGACATGCTGGCACAGCCCGGGAAAATGCGCGAGACGCTGCGCAGAAGCACGGGGGACGACGTGAGTACCGTGGGGCGTGAGGACGAAAAAATGCCCAACGGCGCTGCTGCGATGAGGTCCGAAGACCGGGGCGACGACGGGAATGACCGGAATGGGGAGCAGGATCGCAGCGAGACCCAGGCTTCTTCCGGTGGGAGAGGCATCTTTGATGGCGTCGTGGTCTACGTCAACGGCAGCACGGCGCCGCTCGTGTCGGACCACCGCCTCAAGCGCATCCTTGTCGAGCAGGGGGCTAAGGTGTCGCTGCACCTCGGCCGGCGGCAGGTCACACATGTCGTTATTGGGAGACCCGTGAGTGGGGGGATGGGCTCGGGGGGTGCTCTGGCTGGTGGCAAGCTGGAAAAGGAGATTCGGACGATCAGAGGTTCCGGGGTCCAGTATGTGGATGTCGAATGGTAATGAATCCTCTCCCCCATCTGCTCTCCAGCAATGGCTCTCTTGTTTCCCTTCTTCTTTTTTTTCTTTTTTTGCGTCTATGACTAACTGGGACACTGCAGGGTGCTCGAAAGCCTCAAGGCTGGGAAGAGGTTACCAGAGTCACGGTTTGCAACCTTAAAGGTAGCCAGAGAAGGACAGCGGAGCGTCTATGGCATGTACCCTGCACGAACTAGGTCCGAAACACATGGCCACTCTGTAACATAGTCAACATGGTCATGAAGGCGCTTGCTATGTTTTGCGTTTGAAAATGCCGTACGACGCGACGCTTCTGGGAACGGCTCGTCACAGGTTATGTCGTCATGAAACAGTCAAGCCAGGCGCGAAATGATTCTTCTTCTTTGTCCACTGCCTTCTATTATATATATTTGTTTTCTTCTTCCTGCGTTGGTCTGCGGCACTAGGATACGGCATGGATAATGAGATCACGAGCTTTATACCTGGTCACTGGGAATCATGAGGGATTCGGGATATTGCTGATCCGGGTTGTGTGCTCCCAAAATGAGCCCATAGTTCTCGGCATCCGATAGAACCACAGACGACGAAGAGCATGCGGAATCACGAACTGACATCCATTTAACATGGCGCGTGGCACAACGCCTCTAGTTCGGTTGCATGAGCCTGTACAACCTGGCTGAGATGGCGGGCCTCTTTTGCTTCTGTATACCTGGTCGTTCCGAGTCTCTCACTCGCCACTCGATGCCCGGCTTTGGGGAGGGGCAAACCAGTTCGTGTCCCAAAATAATACCCTTTCGTCTTGTGCGTTGAGAGCAAGTCAGATCGCGGTCCAGCAAGTTGGGACCTCCGACTCGGACTGGATCCCGCACTTCATACGCCAGTACCCGGAAAGGCCTTCCCCCGTCCCCGAAGATTCTCGCGAGAAAAAAAAAAAGGGGGGGGGGGGTGCAAGGAGAGGAAGGGGATGGTTAGACATGCATGGCGGGAGAGTGGAGTGGCCCAGGCGATAGCTTTTCTCCGAGCCTCTCTTCTCCCCCTTTGTCCTCGTTACGGTCGATCTCGATTGCTACATCCAGTCTGGTGGTGTTTCACAGACGGCATTCATCTGCAGAGACAGGGAGGTGCGTAAGGCAGTGGGCGGGACATTTACAACGCAAAGATGGGAGGAAGGAAGCTCGCCATCAACCCTGCTCTTACCTCATTACAATGGGATTTTTGATGGATATTCACTCTTTGTTGGCTCTTCGGAAGTTTGTCTCGTCTTCTCTTCTGCTCTTTGTTTCTTTTTCGCCCTTGCTTTCTGGCATCTGCCCCCGGTGCTCTGTCCGTGGGGTTACATACCCCTCGTCTCCGGGAGGGATATGACAGTGTATGGCTGGGTTAGCTGATTGGCAGCCAAAGAAGTCAGTGAATTCAAAGTGAGCAAAGTCAGGACATCAAGAGGTTCACGTTTCTCCGTCGATCACGAGTCTTGGTGGACGCAGTGGCGAAAAGGGGAGCTCGAAACTCGGTAGCTCGGTAGGACAGAATTAGGTTGCACGACGAGCCGGCGGGTAGTTCGCGGAGGGACGGTGATGAAGAGGCGGTAATGGTTATGACGAGAAGAGAAAAGGGACGGACACTTGGAAAAGGGGCTGGGGAGACTAGAAGCTATACCTCTTTGTGCCGTTTCCCCCCAAGGCAGCCAGACACACTTTCACCAATTCTCTTCCCACCATCCCCCGACCTCGCTCCCAAATTGCCTTTACTATTCCACAGACCTTGCGCCACGTCTATTCCTTGCTTCCAGGCGCGACAGGTAGATGTGGTGTTTGTGCTCTTTGTGCTTCGGGAAAGCAAGGGGGCCTACGGCTGCTCTCGATGGGCGTGGTCAAAGGCAATATCTCGACTTCGGTGGGTAGGGCAAGCAAGACGAATGAGGAATGGTCTAGGCTGTCGAATGTTACTATCGGATTCCTTTCGATCTCAAAGGTTAGATAGGACGTCGTTCCTCTCGACGTCGAACTTGTGGTCCTCAAGCTGCGCAAGGGGGCTGGAGCTTGCTGGGCTAGGCTGGGAAAGGGGTGAGGTGAAGTTAACCAGTCGGCCAGTAGTCATGCGAGAATTCTTAGTCTCTTGCGGTCTCTCTCTGAGAATGAGGAATGGACATTAATGGTAGACACCCGCTTATTATCCTGGGACTTGTAAAAAGGAGGCCTGTAGACCACGTGGAAAACATGACGACCGTAATCCTGATCTGTCTGTACCATCATAAGGGAGATCTGTATGTTGATTCATCCCCTGACCGACTTTAAAAAGGCACCCCCCCAGAGACAGTTTGGTGTTCGTCTCTAAGCTAAAACGAATCTCGGAAATAAACACACTGAGGCTCGGTTGGTCGAGTGTCAGGTCAGAGATTCTGGACGACTCCCTATAACGCCTATATACTTATAAGTAAACTGCGTACGGCGCAAAAGAAATATAGTAAAAAAGAAAAAAGAAAAAAGAAAAAAAGGGGGAACATGAAGCTCATGCAACATAACCTGTTAACAGTTAGCAGTCCAGCAAAGTAAACCCAGAAACAAATGGTGAACACTGCGTTCAATCATGGTCTCATCCTCAAATGTGTCAAGGCAATTACAGCTTCGCTCTGGCCTCGCCTCTCCTCGCCCCCCAATACTCCCTCACTTTCTCCCTAGCAACAAGGACCACTCCGGCATCCTCCACCGTGCTGGGAACGTTGAGTTCCTTGTCCGGCTCGCCACGCGCGGCATTCTCGACGAGCTCGCGCAGCACACGGCGCAAGGTCTTGCCGCTGCGCGTTTTGGGGATCATACCGCGGCCTTGCACGATGCCACCAAGCGTCGCGATGGCACCCACCTGCGAGCGCACCAGGGACTGGATCTCCGCCTCGAGGGATCGATCGGGAGCCGCAGAGGTTGGGTGAGGGTGCGTCTTGAGCGTCACAAAGGCGAAGGGCAGTTGGCCCTTCAGGGCGTCCGGGACGCCGACGACGCAGGCCTCTGCGACGAGGGGATGCGAGGTAATCGCCTGCTCTAGGGCGCCTGGAGGAGAAGTCGTTAGTAGGACCGCGCGATAGCCGAGTGAAAGGGATATTGATATTACCGCTGGATAACCGGTGAGCGGAGACGTTGAGCACGTCGTCGTTGCGGCTCATGATGTTCACATAACCATCGGCGTCGATGAACCCGGAATCGCCCGTGTCGACCCATTCTCCCTGGAACCGTTTCAGATAGCCATTGTAGAACCTTTCGTCTTCTTGCCACAAGCTACGAAACGCTGTTGGAGCCAGTGGCAGACCCATCACGATATTCCCCGTCTCCCCCCGTGGCAGCTCCTTGCCGTTATCATCCACAACCCGAACGTCAAAACCCGGCATTGGTTTTCCAGCACTACCGGGCTTGATGGGGATAGGCGATGGCGGCACCTGCCTTGTCCGGTCGGTGTCGGTGGCCTCGGCGGACGGTACTTGTGGGAACATGGCCCGGCCGGAGATGGGGCTTCCCGTCTCCGTGGACCACCAATTATCGACGACATGCGCGCCTCCTTGCGAAGCCGGGGCGGCGTACTCGTCTAGTAGAGCCTGGTAGGCGGAGATGATGGCAGGTTCGGAGCGCTCACCGGCTAGGAAGAGGCCCCGTAACGAGCGGAGGCCGCCACGGGCGCCGATCTTCTTAAAGCCGAGATTGTCGGGGTCGTCACGCTTGATGGCGCGCAGGGCCGTGGGGGCTGTGGAAAGGGCGGTGACACCGTACTCCTCGACGATACGCCAGAAGGCAGAGGCGTCCGGTGTGCCTACGGGCTTGCCTTCATATAGGACGGTGGCGGCGCCGGCAAGAAGCGGGGCGTAAATAATGTAACTATGTCCCACGACCTAGAATAACAGTAGTTGTTAGATTGTGAATTTGTATGAATGGCAGACAAGCCTCGCTATGGCGTTGCTCTGGTGGTAGTCAACGGGGTTGTGGTGTAAGGGGGGGAGAGTTGCCAGAAAAAGGGGGTGGCGTATCTGATTCTCAGGGAAATACAAAAAAAAAAAAAAAAAAAAAAAAAGAAGGAGAGAGAGAGGATAATAACAACCATACCCAACCAATATCAGAGGCGGTAAAAACGACATCGCCTGGGCCGTGAATATCAAAGAGGTAGCGAATAGACAGCTGAAGGCCGACAGCATGGCCGGCAGCATCGCGCAGGACACCCTTAGGAGAGCCAGTAGTGCCGGAAGTGTGAATGATGTAGACGGGATCAGTGGAGGCGACAGGAACGCAAGAAGCACGCACGTTCCGTGCTCGGCAGCTCTTCACGAGGCTCTGCCAGGTGCGTTCGCCCTCGGAGCGGCGGGTCGGGCCCCAGCGGACCTGGTCGCGCTGCCAGATGATGACACGCTGGGGCTTGTGGGTCGACAGCCGGAGGGCTTCCTGGACGAGCGGCTTGTAAGGGGCCGGGCCCTTGGCGCCCTCGATGCCGCAAGAAGCGGTGAGGATGGCGACGGGACGGGAAGCGTCGATGCGCTGGGCCAGCGCGGCGGGGGCAAAACCGCCGAAGACCACGCAGTGGATGGCGCCGAGGCGACTCGCGGCGAGGATACCGACGAGGGCCGCAGGGATCATGGGCACTTGAGTGGAGTGTTAGCTAAGAGATTCGGCGGGGGGGGGGAAGGGGGCGGGGAAGGGGTATAAGAAGAATGGGGGCGAGTGCCCTAGGGGGAAGACACAAGGGGAGGCGGGCGGGCGGGCGATCTCACTGTATATGAGGACAACATCGCCCTTGCGAACTCCTTCTTCCCTCAGGGCACCGGCTAGGACCTCGACCTCGTCGAGCAACTGAGAATAGGTGAGAGTCTCCTTCGTGTTGGTGACAGGACTGTCCCAGAAGATGGCGGGTTCATTCCCCCGGCCAGCAAGGACGTGGCGGTCAATGCAGTTATAGCAGGTAGAAATCTCGCCGCCAGGAAACCAGGACCAGGAAGAGTGGGTGACGCCGCTTTGTTTCAACGTCTTCTGGCTGCGCCTGAGGACAGCAGAAGGTTTCTGGTGCCAGTGAAGGAGGTCTGCCTGGCGCCCCCAGAACGATTCCGGGTCTTCGAGGGACTGGCGGTGGGTTTCCTCCTGAAGATGGGTTGTCGACCTCGCCATGGCCGGTTGATGGGTATATATGTCTGCTTCAACCTGGACAGGGAGAGGGGATAAGGAAGAACGAGACTGGTATAAGCCGCGAGCTGTTCTATATGAGATGACGGGGTTGAATGGAACATCCAAGGCAGATGAGCATAGGAGAAGAGAACAATAAGCTTGTCTGGGTATCATGAAGGAGTAAAACACGCGCGATATGGGGACGACGGATGTACGGACGACGGGCGAGCTGGCTCTATAAATCAACACTGAAACCATGAGGAGACTAGAAGACCTCGGTCTTTGTGTGCCCGGCACCCTTATATGCGGCTGAAATATACTAGGATTGGTTATTTAGTAGGGGCTGAGGAGGAGAAGTTGCCAAATAAGGTAGGGGTCAAGTTCGAAATTCTGGGGAACGTTGTCGAAAGCAAGTCGCTTCGCTGGTGGAAGCGTTAGATACCCGGAGACCGGGCGAAGACCGGCCGGGGGGGATCGGAAGGAGGGAGTAACCCCTTAACGCGGGGAAGAAAGCGTTTGGGGCTTTGTTGAGTTGTTTATGTCAGCTTGCTGTTAGTGAGGTACCTGAGTCCCCAAGGAAACTTGCGTGCTTGCATTGATTGGTCCACAGTCATGGCAGTAACCAAGGCACAGGCACCAGGCTCAGGCCCCCCTTTCCCCCTTTCCCCGGCCCCCTTCCCCGCATTCCGTCACTCCGTTACTCCGATGATATTTATTCGTAGATCTTCCGCCCAGCGTCCCAGCTACGTCTTCCTGCACTGAAAGGCTCGTAGCCGAGGATGGCCGGGCTGCTGAATGTTAATGCAAAGATAAAATCAAAGATGCGCCTAAACTTAGTCTGGTATGACTGGGCCGTCACACTGCCTCGCCAGTCATGCTGGACTTGGCCAAGACCTGTTGAACTGCAAGAGTTGAGGCACGCTTCTCTAACGCAGACAGAGAGACGAAAATAAACAAATATAAACCAAACAAACCGAGAACTTCATAACGGCTACTAGAAGTAAAAAAAAAAAAAAAAAAGACAAGTAGTACGACCCCGTCGCAGCAATCCTGAAAGAGTTCATAGCATGGAAGGGCTCTGATGTCAAGTGAGGACGGCTTTGGATGTACCAAGTCCTCTCATCAGACGCGTACAAAGGCCCAGGAAACTAAGGGACACATGACATGGAACAGATAATACTAGTCGTTCGGAGAGAAGATAGTGGTTGAAATTTGTCGACCAAAGCCAATTCTTTGTAGCGCCTTGTCGTGAACACATTACATTTCCAAAAACTTCCGAAAAAAAAAAAGGAATAGGAACACACATATCGACTCAATTCTCGCCTAACGAAAACGAAGCCAACATGCGCGACGAGTGCCTCCACAATGTACACTTAGACGCAAGCTAGAGCTGGAAGACAGGTACAATAAAGGGTCCGAACATGACTAAGTTCAGACCAAAATCGTACACATCTTCCGCGGTTATCTGTATCCCTAGACGCTTCCGCCTATCCTAAATTACTCCACCCGTACATTCCAATCCCACGCCTTGCGTCATATGTTGACTTGTCGGGTCCGCCCACAACAGCAAACGTTGACATGCATCAAAGTTTTAGAGTCCTCCAAGAGACAAAGAAACCCACGTCGAGTCGCAGGCGGCAACGCAGACGATGGCGCGAGCGACAGTTGCTACTGTCAGGGAATTTAGAGGATGAAAGCGGCAATGCCGAAGACACCAGCAAGGCCGGCACCCGAGAGGGCGGCGAGCTTGCCGGCACCGGCGGTGGGGACGGTGATGGGCTGGTCATCGCTGGGGGTGGGCTCAACGGGGAGAGTGGGCACAACGGTCTCCCAGGTAGCGGTCTGGTTGCTGGGGATCGAGATGACGGGAGGAGGAATGGGGACAGACGAGGGGCTGAAGAGAGTGGTTAGCTTTTCACTCTTGGCCTTGACCTGCACACTGGATGGATCAGGAGATTCTTACCAGTCGTGGCAGGAGACGACGCTGCTGATGATGACGGGCTTGGTGATGGTGCAAGGGCAGTCGGTGATGGTCAGGGTGGTAGCCTTTTTTGAAACACAAAAAAAGTTAGTCAAACAATCCCTTCGGTTCAGACATGGGGGAGAGCAGCGCAACGCCCGCGTTCATATTGTGGTGGTCGGGCTAGTCGGCCGGATTGACAGGTGACGCAACTGCGCGCAACTTGCCGACCCGGCCTCTTCCATCCGCATCCCAATAAGAACCCGCGCAATTCCTCTTTATCGGCTCCGAACGTACCTCCGTGACGGTGTAGGTGTGGTCGCCGTGGGTGATGGTGGTAGGCTCAGGGCAGTAGGTGACGTACTCCGAGACGACCTCGGTGACGTAGGTAACGTTGTTGCGGGCAAAGCCAGCCATGGCGCCAGCGGCGGCGGAGAGGACAACGGCGACGGAGAACTTCATTTTGACTGATTTTTTGGGTTCGGGATTAATCGACTCGGGAAGAGCAAAAAAGTAATTGGTTTAGTTGCGGCGAGGGAGCGGCTTGGATTATTTTGCGTTGGAATAACGAATGAAAGCGACTGCGAGAGTCTGGGTCGGTATACTAAGGAGCGAGTGTGGGTGAGGAGAGGAAAAGAGAGACAGGAGTAACGGACGGAGGAAGGAAAAAAAGGACTTTTATACGGAGTGACCAACAGGCCGCTTGAGAACGGTGGGATTGGGCGTTAGACGGAAAGGGGGTGAGCGTGTGTGGCTCGTGCCCTCCCACCGGCCCAGGCCTGCTGGCTGAACTGAGATGGACCGGTCCATGGCTGCCTTAGGTACCTCATACTTCGCCCGTCGTAGGTATCACCTACGGATATCTTTGTACGAAGTACTAATTTCCATGCTTTAAAAATGGCCTAGGAGGAGGAGCCTCTTATTTTACTATTGACGAATCAAAGATAAGCCTGGTCCGATGGATGGGGCCGGGGATCGAGCTGGGCAGGGTGTGTGGGCCGGAGGAGAATTGGCCTCCTGCTTGCGCTGTGGCTTCATCATATTGGTCCGGTTCGCCTGTCATGGTTGCTTATCTCGGCCGTCCAGACCTTTGAGTTCCTTGAAAAGGGTGAAAGGGGGTAGACAGACGGGCACTCATCCGGGATGAGTCGCCGCCGCTCCCTCATCTTCTGGTTGGTAATTATTTATGAATCCTTTTTTTTTTGTTTTGTTTTTTTTGTCTTCCCTTTTCTTGCTGGGGTGTTTGGTTCGGCAAGCAATGCTTTTATTTCGTACCGTATTGCGTCGTATCAGGGAATTGATCAGTGCATATGCTCCACGAAGAACGAATCAGCAGGAAAAGGGGGAGACGCCTTGTCATGCGATCCCGTTGTGATCTGAATGAGTGTTATGGTGTGTGTGTGTGTGTGTGTGTGTGGCTGGCCTGTTCCTGTTCCTGTTCCTGGCATAATACAACGCACCTGTCAGACGCTAATGCAGGAACGGGCCTCGAGCCATCAACGTCTGGTTGGACAATGGAACTCCCTACTTTGTCCCTCAACACGAAAACTCCCATCTCCACGAATACGAGGTATTCTTTGGTGTCAAGATAGACTAGGAGTTTAAGAGTTCATATGTACTCCGCAGAGGGGGAGTGGTGTGCCCTTCTACGGGTAAAGGAATTACGGCGTCTTACCGTTGAGGATATCCAAGGGATTCCGGCCCGCTATGAGCTGGCTCATTGCGTGGTGAAATGAGTGATGCGATTCTGCAAGCCATGAGCGGCGTCGTCTACTCACCTACAGCGTAATACATACAAGGCATTTTTGTACGAAGTACTTCGCACTTTATTTGGCATGGAAGACAGTGAGTTTGTGGTCTGTTATTAGGGCCCGATAATACGGCCTGGAAGAACCGAGATAAGTGGAATTATTGAATTTGTTGGAACTATGGGAAATGAGACTTTATGGGCGTCGTACCAGTAGTGGATGATATCAAACGTTGGGTGTTCCCATTGGTCGACTTATCCATCCGTTCTTTCCACTCTCGGTTAGTGCCGCCAATAATTATGTCATTCGTGGGATGCATCACGGTAAGGTACCTTAGTCGAAGTACGAACAAGGTACCTAGTGACTTACAGAACGGAGTACATGTTCTGAAGTACCCAGGTCACTTAATGGCTGGAAGGAGACCTGGTCCAGACTCGGACTTTGCTCGTTTTGTCGTTATTTTCTAACTACCTTAGCTACCTTACCTTGCCTTATCATTCACGTACGTTGCATGGCCTCTTATTACGTGTACGAAATACAAAGTACGGAGTACCAAATACTTCATCCCGGACAGCCTCGGCACGATCGCCGAAAGTCCAGAACCTTTTCTGTCGGAGGAGCCAAGACAACCCGTCAAGCGCCCCTCGGCCCTGCATCAAGCCAGTCGCTCTCCACCCCCAGGTCTTGTTCAACGGACCGACCTGGGTTGCCAATGTTGGTTGATGAAATTGATTCCGCTACGTTTCTATTATTGGAGAGTCGTCTACATATTTGCTGCTGAAGAATTGGAACAGCTGGCAAGGATGTGTGATCTCGCCAATGGTTCGTTCGTTCTATCACCGCAATCTGCCCAGTGCCCCTAACTAACATCCTATATGTGCCTTTCCCGTACAGACCCACTGTTTGGATCACTATTGTGTTCTCCGTCGCGCCTAGCTATTTCGTGCACGAAGTACCGGTAGGTACGTTGTATGAATGGTTTCGCGTGGGCGTCGCGTGTCGCAAGTTGCAGTTAGGTATTGGGGAGTTGTGTGTGGATTTCTTGGACACGACTCTTACCACTCCGAAATCATCTAGGTGCATGTCCTTAACCGGAATTACGTGCGACTCTGATCCGGCGCTTCAAATTACAGCTGCCCATTTCATCACCTTTGTCGCCATGCGTCTGCCATCACCTGGATTGTACGTCTACCTGTTCGTACAATACCGCAACCCACCCCAGTAACGGCCGCGAACAAGCTTTTGCCATTGGGAAGACCGGCGTAATTAGCATGCAATGGCACCCAGGACATCATCCATTTAACCCTTGCCTCTTGGGTTCGGCTCGCTCGCCCCATCCTCTTTTTGATTTCAAACCAGGGGCCCATCGACCATACTAATAGGTAATGACATCCACCTTCGCGACGCGATATGGACTCAATGAGACGGTGTCCATGCCCACCCTAACCTGGATGGGGAGCCGATAGGCAATCATCAGAGGTTCATGGCTTCCAAGCAGAGGGGAATCAAATTATGTGAGTCGCAATGACCCGAACGTTCCAGCATCACTCACTTTGACAGCAAGCACTTGATTATCCAAGCTCACAGATCAATGTCCTGGTCTGCGGTGTACATAGGAGAAGACATGGATGTTCCCCTGGTTCGTCGGATGTTGTTCGACAAGATTCGCGCGTCGTTACAGAGTAGCATGTACCTTTAGAAGATCGGATGATGGGCCCGGTCTTGTTTATCATGGGATGACTAAGGTAAGCGTACCCGACCCTGGGGACACCACCGACTATGGTCGGTGCTGCTCGGCCTAACGACACTGTGCCCAATGCCATCACAGCTCAACGTCCAAACGGTCACGTCATAGAAACGGTTTGGTCGCAATCTGGTTGCTCGTCAAAGTAGTACGGCGTACCTTTGCTAGCGGTTGTACATGGCTGCTCTGCTCCATACTCCGTATTGGTAATCACCACTTTCGCTCAATCCGACGAGCCCTTCTATGCAATCTTCACTCTGCTTCACACTCATCACGATACTGAATCGGGATTCATCAAGTCCTTACTTTACTAACCAGTCAAGTACGGTGTTCTACCCACTGGCAGCGATGAATGCCAAAATGCGAGCAATCGGTAAGTGGCAGCAATGCCTCCTTCATTCCAGCCAGAGCCTATCTCCAACAATATTGGAATCGCAGACATCCAAGGAGGAAAGGGCCCCCGGGAGAATCTTGTCATGAACCCCGATGTCCCTAAACCGATTCCGAAAGAGGGTGAGGTCCTCGTCAAAGTCAAAGCCTTCGGTATAAACCGTATGGACCAGATACAGCGCGAGGGTAACTACCCTGTCCCCGCTGGCGCCTCCCATATCCTAGGGGTCGAGTTCAGCGGCACCGTCGACTCCCTCGGGCCCCCTTCGGCGTCGCACCCGGACCCCCACGACTTCCGACCGGGCGAGCCAGTTTTCGGCCTAGCCTACGGCGGCGCCTACGCGGAATACGTAGCCGTCAGCGCCCGCATGCTGCTCCGCAAACCCGACTTTTTGACCTGGGAGCAGGCCGCCGCCATCCCAGAGACGTGGATCACCGCCCTGCAGGCCCTGCACGTCGTCGGCGGCGTCAAACCGGGCGACAACGTCCTCTGGCACGCCGGGGCGTCCGGTGTCTCTGTGGCGGGTATCCAGCTCAGCCGCCTGGCCCAGGCCGGCGCCGTGTTCGCCACCGCCGGCACGGACGCCAAGTGCGCTTTCATCCGGGACGAGCTGGGCGCCACGGCCACCTTCAATTACAAGACCCAGGACTGGGCGCGTGGCGTCCAGGATGCCACAGGCGGGCGAGGTGCGGACCTGATCATTGATTTCGTAGGCGGAGGCGACTACTTTCCGAAGAACCTCGAGGTGGCTGCCCGGGACGGGAAGCTGGTGATGCTGGGCCTTCTGGGAGGCGGTAGCGTGGAGAATGTTAACGTGTCACTCATTCTCTATAAGAGACTGCGCATCGAGGGCAGCACGCTGCGGAGCCGGGATATTGAGTATCAGGCCCGTCTGCGCGATCGTCTGGAGGCGTGCTTGCCGGACTTTGAGTCGGAGAAGCTGAAGATTGTGATTGACACCGTCTTCCCTTGGGAAGACATACGGACCGCACACGAGTACATCGAACAGAACAAAAATTCTGGAAAGATCGTCTGTACCCTTTCTTAACGAAAGCAGAGCGTCGGGTCTTGAATGAATCTGATTGCAAAAGGTGCCTCTCTGAGAAGAGAAGCGGGTGAAAAGCCTGGCAGCGCCAAGCATGGGACCCAGACGTGGTCCTTCTCGTCGCCAATCCATCATTAACATGTTTGCGTCGGAGTCAAGTCGACTTATCCGTTACGCGAAATGGAATGAAACGCAAAGCCTAGCCCGAACTCGTTACATCGTAAAGCCCAATGGCATCAAGCCATGGGTAGATTGGGAACAACCGCAAACGCCAGCCCTGGAAACCTAATGTTCATTGATCCAACTCAGCATCTGCTCGTACGCCGTTGCTTGCGCTCCCCGAATGGTGGCATCCTCGTACACACCAACGACCGCGAAACCTGTAGTCGCAATTAATTCACGGTCTGGAGAGGGGGTGGGCGGGGAAAGGCCGGAAAGGAGAATAGGCCAACGGGTAACTTGACCTACCGTGCGGCACACCGGGGTACACCCTCACTTCATGTTCCAGGTTGGCCTGGGACATGACATCTTCACCGGCGACGCGGACATCATCGGGGAACAGAGCGTCGTTCTCGACACAGGCTAGTGAGACGGGGACCCGCAGGGAAGCAAAGTCCTTGGGTGTTACAGAGGCGGCGTGGGCCACTGCGCCGACCTTGATAAGAGGGCCCGTCTTCGTCTCACCAGCCTCTTCGTCGGCTGGTCTCTCCGGCCCCGGCGTGGTGGGCTGGGCGTCGGATCCGAGGAGAAGCACGTAGCGTCCACCGATGCAATACCCGACGGCATAGATTCCGTCGCCGTGTTTGATGGCGTCGGCAAACTCGTCGCGGCAGCCGTCGATAACCTTGTGGAGGATGGGAAGCACCTTCTCTTCGGTCTGGCGGGCGAGCCACATGTCGATCTGGAAACTCTTTGCCGTCTCGACAATCCTGAGCTTGAATGCGTCGATGAGGGACTGGCTCTCTTCTTGGCTGGCGAAGGTGGTCGTGTTGGGGGCCGGGTCGCCGTTAAAGAGGTCGGGCATGGCGACGAGGAACCCTTCGCTGGCAAAATTGTCGGCTTGGAGCTGGTTATTAATCGACTTAAGACCCGTGCCTCCGGTCAGGAGGAGCAGGAACCGAGCGGGAGCGTGGGGATAGTCAGCTGGCTTGGAGACGTAGACCTGGTGATGGCTTGTCAGCGTTCAATCTTCTGGCTAGGGGCTGGCTGAAAGAAAGGGGAGGGGGGGGGGGAAGAGCAGCACCTCCACATCATTAATCTTGATTATTTCACCCGTAGACACCTGGCCAGCGGCTGTGCGGTGTTGTGTTAGCTGACGGAAGGGGTTGTCTATCTGACCGAGACACAGCGCAGCGCTCAGGTGGCACTTACGTGTTGGTCGGTCTGTGACACAGTGTTCGCCTACGGCCGGGCCAGCGGCGGGAGAACTCTCGATCGGCTCGGCAGGCTGCTCCGTCGCATTGCTCTCGGGGGCCTTGGTTGCGACATCAATTTCCGTCATGTTGGATGAAATTTTGGTCCTCAATGAGGGGTGGAGGTGGGTGCGTTATGGTGAAGATCGCGTGTATGAGAATTGATCAAGAGGCTACTCCAATCCCACGAAATAGAGAGTAACGGTAGTCAACAATTTTAACAGGTCAGCTGGTGAGATGTTGATTATCGAAACGGCGCGGGCGAAAGACGTATCCTGTGATGTTGACGGTAGTTGGAGGGGGAACAAGCAAGGTAAGGAGGCAAGGGCTGGCTCGTCGTTGTCACTGAAAGGTACTGGACGGTGTACGGTACACCTAGGTAGGTATTCATTACCCACCAAGTACCAAGTAATTACGCGTCGAGTAAGAGTGCCGAAGTATTGGCAGTTGCAGCACCGCGGCGTCAGCCCATGATGCCATAAAGTCGGCGCCCCACCAACACCGTTTGCCCTCTGTAATTACCCCGCAACACGCCACGCGTACTCTGTGATTGGACTAAAGACTAAAGCGGTGACTAAGCAGAAGACCCCTCACCGCAGGTACTTTAGGCAAGCAGCAAGCGAAATCCCATTAAGCAGAACGCGTCGACGCGTCTCTTCGTTCACACAACACATCGCCATCACCGTCAGCATCATCACCATCTGTTCCGAGTTAAGAATCCCACCGAGGGAAAAATACGCCCGCCCGCGTCCCGTACTTAATCCTTACAGTCCAGTGGATATACTGCTCTTAACGCTCATTTTTGTCTTTTACCGTTAAGAGCCTCGTCTGCCACCATGGATCCCGCCTCAAGGATTTCTCGTGGCGCTTTAAAGTGAGTTTGCCCCATCGTGACCTGTCCTCTATCCCCCCGAGACGTACTATATATTCAATTGACTCAACTGTTCTCCGCAGTGCCATCTTCACTGATCCCGATAATGTAGCCACCAAGTTCCCCGTACCTATTCTGCAGTGCCTCCAGATCAAGCCACTAGGCGGCCAGCCCGGCTCCGTTGATCGATACCGGATTGTCTTGAGCGACGTCAACAACTACGTCCAGTCCATGTTGGCGACCCAGGTAAACCATCTTGTCCACGATGGCCAGCTTGTGAGGAATTGCATTGTGCGTATCACAAACTATCAGCCCAACACCGTCAAGGGCAAGAAGTATGTTCCACTCAGCCGGTTCACATGGAACGAGGGCGGAAAAAAAGAAAAAAAAAGAAAAAAAAGAAAAAGAAGAAGAAGAAGAAGAAGAGGGATCGATCTTGCTGGTTGACTGACTGTAATCTAGCATCTTGATCATCCTGGGCCTCGAGGTCATCTCTGAACTTGGCCAGCCTGACAAGATAGGCGATCCCGTGGCCTTCGAGCCTAGTTCAGAGAGTGCACCGAATACTACAACCATCGGCGGACAAAACTTCTACGGCGCTAAGAAGGAAGAGAAGGAAACCAAACCTAGAATGTCCAATATTCCGAGCCGCCCAACAACAACGGGTGGAGGCCACGGCAGCAACAATATTTACCCCATTGAGGCCCTCTCACCGTATGCGCACAAGTGGACCATCAAGGCCCGCGTCACGCAGAAGGGCGACATCCGCACCTGGCATAAGCCCAGTGGCGAGGGCAAGCTGTTCTCCGTGAACCTTCTTGATGAGAGCGGCGAGATCAAGGCTACTGGCTTCAACGAGCAGTGTGATCAGTACTACGACATGTTGCAGGAGGGTTCCGTCTACTACATCTCGAGCCCTTGCAAGGTGAGCATTGCCAAGAAGCAGTTCTCCAACCTGCCCAACGATTACGAGCTCGTCCTTGAGAGAGACACCGTCATCGAGAAGGCCGAGGATCAGAGCAGCGTACCGCAGGTGCGCTTCAACTTCTGCACAATCCAGGAACTCCAGAGCGTCGAGAAGGACGCGACCGTCGACGTTGTCGGCGTCCTCAAAGAAGTTGGCGAGGTGTCGCAGATCACGTCCAAGACCACCCAACGGCCCTACGAGAAGCGAGAGCTCACAATCGTAGACGACACGAACTTCTCCGTCCGCGTAACCATTTGGGGCAAGTCTGCGCAGAACTTTGATGCCAGGCCCGAGTCTGTCATCGCCTTTAAGGGCCTCAGAGTCTCCGATTTTGGCGGCCGGAGCTTGAGCCTCCTCTCCTCGGGCACCATGACCGTCGACCCGGATATAGCCGATGCCCACCGCCTCAAGGGCTGGTATGACTCTTCCGGTCGCAACGACTCGTTCGCGACACATAGCGGCATGGCGCCCGCCCTGGGTGCCGCCACAGGGCGCGGCAACGAAGACAAGTTCGTGGTCCAGGTCAAGGACGAGCAGCTCGGGATGAACGAAGGACAGGACTTCTTCAACCTCAAGGCCACCATCGTGTACATCAAGCCCGACACCTTCGCCTATCCGGCTTGCCGCAAGGAAGGCTGCAACAAGAGGGTCATCGACGTCGGCGACGGCACGTGGCGCTGCGAGAAGTGCGACATCAACCACAGCCAGCCCACGTACAGGTACATCATGTCCGTCAACGTCTGCGACCACACGAGCCAGCTCTGGCTTAGCTGCTTTGACGAGGTCGGCCGCGCCATCATGGGTGTGTCTGCTGATGAGCTTATGGAGCTCAAAGAGTCTGGCGATGAGGCCGCCAAGGCGGCCGTTTTCGAACAGGCCAGCTGCAAGAAGCTTTTCTTTAGATGCAGCGCCAAGATGGATACTTTCGGTGAAACCCAGAGGTATGTTTCATGTTTTTTTCCATCAATTTTTTTTCTTCAGTCCCTGCTGCTCTGCTGTCACTCTGATGACCACTTGTATACTGATGGCCCGGTTTCCCTCGATTTTTAGGATACGGTATCAAGCTCGCAGTGCGGCACCGCTCGATTACAAGACAGAAGGACACAAGCTTGTCGAGTTGATCAAGCAGTACACCATCAGCTCGTGATTTCGGCACTTGTGGTGGAATTCGCTTCTTGTCGACCTCTCTTGGAGTGGATTGGGGGGTGTCGGGGGTACTGTGCTATCAAGACATGGCCGGCCAGCCGAGCCTGGACAGTTAAATCGGATCATGAGGACGATGCGAGCCAAAGCCGAACTACTTTGTATCGCGAAAGGTTTCGTACTGGTTGCGTAGGGGTCGTTGTTCAATAGAAGTGATAAAAACAGAAAACGAAAAGAGCCTTAAGAAAGGGGTTTCACGATACCGATGTTTTAGGCGAAATGCTCATGAATAGCTTTTCCAATGTCATGTCATCACTGGCATTGGAGGCTAACATATCTAGTTATCATAATCTCAGCCACCGCCCAAAACACTGGGAGTGGGAAGGCAGGCTAGGTCTAGCATGGCACTCCCTGGCTGAATGCCCTAATTCATAACGCCGCCGCTTTTATCTGATGATGGATGAGCGCTACCTGAATCCGTTATACCAACTCCCTTCACACGACCCCTGCCTCCCCTTCTTTGCTTCGAGGCCCGTGGTTAATACCTTGAAACTTCTAACCCGGACTTGTTGTTGTCGCCAACCCGCCACAGAAGCTTGTAATACGCCTATGGCTTTGCAGGGGTTTGCATGTATAATGCGCTGGATATACCTATGCCGTGCGGTTGCGCCAAGAAGAGTACAAGGTGGTGAGCTCCAGAGGCCGCGAAGAATGATCGTGATCGGCTCAAGCACTAGACGGGACGACTGCCCGAAATACCCCGGGGCGATGAATGCCTACATGGTATGCATAATACCTGTCATGAGGTCCTCATCCTCGATAGACTGTTCGAAGCCGATACCTGGGTCGTTGGTGTCACCCTTCTCTTGACGCTTTTGGTCACGAAGGACGTGCTTCGCGTAGTCCTTGTTCATGGTGAGGCGCAAGTTGGTCGTCTCGACCGTGTGACCGAGGGCTTTCAGCGAATCGACACTCCCCTTCATCTTGGACGCGAACTCTTCTTCCGAGAGGTCCTCGCCCCGGGACAAGAAAGCGAGGCACTTGGTACCATCCGAGTGCTGCTGTGTGAGGGTGGCGCGGAGCATGCCGGACTCAATCATGCCTCGAATGAGGTCCTCTACTTCCTGCTCGGTCGCCAAGCTTTCGCCCGTCTGGCCGCTCTTGGTCAGCTCGCGGACCAGATTCAAGCTCAGCCTGGTGTACAGATTGGACAGATCCATAATGGCCCACTTCTGGGCTGCTGCCAAGACCTCCTTGACGAGATCGAAGTTGCCGTCTTCCTCCCACGTTTTGGCCGACTTTTCTGCCTCGGACCGCAGGTCTGGTGCCGACCCGGAAGCGAAGACCGTGGCAAGATCCAGGTACGGCTTGCCCATGACGCCATAGTTCCTACTGGCGGTGGGGTGGACGTATGGGGGTAATTCGGGTCGCCGTCCAAGGGCGATATTGCCCGTCAGCATCCATTTCTTGTAGGCGTCTATCATGGTTTGGGTAAGGGTGCCGTCTGAAGTCGGGAAGGTCACGACGCGACCAAAAGCGGCGTGGGCTTCATCCCATTTCCGCAGCGACGAGAAGATACGGCCACACAAGTAATCGTAATGCATGACCATGTCCTTCGTAAGCTTCCCCGTAAGACCGGTCTTGTGCGAGATGTAGCTTGCAGGGGAGGCAGAGAGGTCGCAGAGGTACTGGGGTGCGGATTGGTCGGCCATGGCTGGGACGAAGACGTAGGGTTTCTCGATGACCGGCAGTACTGGCGCAAGTTGTCCGGACTCAAAAGCTAGTTCCGCAAGTGAACAGTGAGTCGATGTGAGAACCTGGCCGGTGCTATCGAGGCGGAGGATGACGGCCGCGAGGACTTGGACGGCTTGGGGGCCCTGAAAGACCATGCTATCAGCCAAAGGTATCTATGGATGACGAGGGTATCTTATGCAACGCACGGGAATCCACTTGAGATCTATCACCTCACGAACCAGGTGAAGAAAGCTTTCGCCGACATAACGAATCTGACGGGCGTCGAAAGATTGAAGGAAACGGAGAGCATGTTTGGTGAGCTCGGATCGGGAGACAGGAACGGTTGAATTGTCGGCGTGTTTTAGGGTGTTGATAATGGCGAGGAAGGAAATTGAATTAACAGAGGGATTCACGAGCTGTTTGGAGAGAGCATGTCAGCTAGATTCAGATATTAGGGCGGTATGGCAGGGGCAGGGGGAGGGGGAGGGGGAGGGAGAAGAGGGAGAGGGAGAGGGAGAGGGAGAGGGAGAGTCGGACCTCGAGGAGCTGTGGGGTCGCAGGAAGAACGACTGATGTTTGTTCCCTGAACAGCGATTCAACTCTATTAATGTGTTTTTTAACCTCAGTATCGTATGTTTTGTCGGAGATTTCGCCATCTGGCGGGAAGGCCAGGAGGACCTGGTCCATGTTGGTGAGAGCAGGGCGGACACCTTAAGCGTGCGTTGTGACGTTGAGGGCGGAGAACGAGAGAGAAGACTTCAGCGAGTGTGGTCACGATCGGGTTGGTTGAATGAGATCACTGTTGTAACAGAGAAGAAGCTTTGGTGAGAGACGACAGGAGTTCTTGGTGTAAGGTAGAGTGGCCGCGTTGTTTGAGCGTCTTGGTATTTGCGAAGTTGGAGTTTGGTACGGACCCTACGGAGTATACCAACATATTTAGGTAGGCACCTTACAATGTCGTACTGTAGCTTGTTGGACGTGGGGTCTGTTAATTAAGGCAGTGGGGTTACCGGAAGCTGTTGTACGGTATGTAGGTAGGTACCTAGGTAGGTACCTACGTACTCAGCAGAGGCAGAGGAGTCTTAGCTTACCTTATTTGGTCTGATTGGATAATAAACCCGGCTCCCAATCGCACGGACCATATGATCCACGTGACTCGGATTTGGAGGAATCAGAGTGCAGCGAATTCCAAGCAGCCGAAACCTTCTGACGACGATAGCTCTTGAGCAGGTCAACTATTCCCACCGTCTCATTGGCATTGAGCATCACCTCCGCAGCCATGGCCTCGAAACTCGCTCCCTCCTTCTTCAGATCGGCCGTCAGGTCAGCGTGCCGGACTGCGCGGCCACAGTTCCGCGCGCCCGCCGCTGCCGCGGCAAGAGCAAGCAGCACCCTACAAGTGGTATGGTTCTCTGCCACCCCCCGGCATTGCCATTGGCGATGATTTGCCCGTCCACTAGCCCAATGGACGCTAGACATAGATGTTCCTTGACGTTATGGCATTCTACAATCCGAGTTGGACGGGCGATCAATTGTGGTTTGCCACGACAAAAGTGCGCCGCTGACCGTGTAATCCACTCTGGCATCTTAGCACCGCAACACCCCCAACAATAACCCGGACGTCCCCTTCAAGTTCACCAAGCAGAACGAGGCCATCATCTCCGAGATCATCAAGCGCTACCCCCCGCAGTACAAGAAGGCGGCCGTCATGCCCCTGCTCGACCTCGGCCAGCGCCAGCACGGTTACACTTCCATCAGCGTCATGAACGAGGTCGCCCGCATCCTCGAGATGCCCCCGATGCGCGTCTACGAGGTCGCCACCTTCTACACCATGTACAACCGCACGCCTGTCGGCAAGTTCTTCATCCAGGCCTGCACGACGGTGAGTTTTAGCCATTTCTGTCCTTCTCATTGAAACGGTTCCGGTTCACGGTTCCCCGACATGTGTCTCGTCTCCCTCTCCCACGATACAAAAACAAGTCTTAACATTCAGTACTCCTCGCAGACACCCTGCCAACTCGGAGGCTGCGGCTCCGACGCCATCGTCAAGACCATCAGGGAGCACCTAGGCATCGAGCAGGGCGAGACCACCCCCGACGGCCTCTTCAGCTTCCTCGAAGTCGAGTGCCTGGGCGCCTGCGTCAACGCGCCCATGGTCCAGATCAACGACGACTACTACGAGGACCTCACCCCGGAGACCACCCGCCAGCTCATCGACGCCCTGAGGGCCAGCGTCACCGGCACCGGCCCGGACGCCGTCGTCGACCACGCCAAGGTCCCCCAGCCGGGCCCCATCAACTCGGGCCGCAAGACCTGCGAGAACAGCAGCGGGCCTACCAACCTGACCAGCGAGCCGTGGGGCCCCGAGACTACGAGACCCGACCTGTAAATAGCCGGGGGGTGGGGAGGTGTGGGGACCGAAAGAAGTAGGTAAATGTGGACAGGGAATTCATCGTGGTCCCATTGTAGGTTACAGCAGACCTGGAGAAGAGAGGAGGTATGGTAGGGGAGCTAGAGTCGGGGGCGAAGGGGAGGTCGAAGAACGAGGGACCACTCTTTCATAGAGGCGGACAGGAAGGGATTGTATATAGCAACGCAGGTTGAGCGTGGTTATTTGGGAAATGGGAAACGACGACGCCTAGATTTCATTTGTTTTTCCATTGTGTTTTTTCCGTTTTCCTTTCATTGATCGCATTGCATGCCATCGTGTACAAGATGGCCAATCAAGGAAGACCCCCAAAAAGAAGGGGGGGAAAAGAAAAAGAAAAGAAACTCCAGATGTTAGTTTGTAAATCGATCCTAGTATGTCAGGGGGGAAACCCCAAATCCAAGCCGGCGAACCAGACGCTTTCGTTATCTACATTGAAGAGTATCCATACTCTTCGCTTTAAAATCCAAGAGTATATAGCGAGACAGAAAGTGGAAGAAAAGGGGAATCTGACATCAGTCGAGCCTCAAAATCCACCCATCCGGTAGCGGCCTGCCAGTCTCACCCCGACCACCCCAGACCACTATGCCCGTTTCTTCCAGCTCGCCCATGGGCGCGGTGGCGACCCAGCCGCGCGGTGCCGGACCGCCCTGGCTCTTCTGGTCATCCTCGTCATACGGCCTCATCTCGAGCCTGTACCACCGGCCATCGCCCGTCGGCTTCCCGAAGACCTGGAGCATCGCGTCCCTGACGCTCGAGATGGTCATGCCCAGCGGCGGTACCTGGAAGACCCAGACGTCGGAGGCGCACTTGGTTCCCGAAGAAGCGGTCGCCTCCGCCTCCAACTCGCCGCCCACCAAGAGGAGGAACTCCCGACCAGCGCCAGATGTGACGACCTCGAGGCCGGCAAAGGCCCGCGGGTCCGGCCACGCCTGGTCGGCGGTGAGGGGGATCTCGGGCCCTTCGGCCGGGGCGTCGCCGGCGGGGACGTCGGCACCGGAGACGATGCTCTGCCAGCCGCCGCGGGTACGCACGCTGACCTCGCCGCGCGAGACGCCGTCGGCGAAGGTCTCGACCTCGAGGTGGACGAAGTCGAGCTGGCCGCCGAGCGAGGCGGATCCGGTGGAGCCGCCGAATCGGAAGAGGCGGCTCTTGCTGATGCAGATGGAGGCGCCGGCTCGACCGGGACCCGGGGCGGCGGGGAGCGCGGTCCAGACGCGGGTGTGGACGTCGAAGGCCCAGAGGTCGTTGGCGTGCTTGCCGTCGGCATCGGTGAAGGGCTCAGCGGGGGCGGTAGCGGAGGTGGGGAAGACGACGCCGCCGTGGATGAAGACAGTGCCGTAACCTTCGTCCTCCTCATCGGTGGCGCGTGAAGCCACGTTCCCGACGATGGGGGCCTGTGGGATGCCGACCTCGGCCGAATCTCCTTGGGCCCACTCCATCCAGGTCTTGGGTTTCCGGGAGCTGTCGCGGTTTCCGAAATTGCGCGGACGGTCGGTGGCGGCGGCGGCGTGACCGTAGCGTGGAGCCGGGGTAGGAGACAGGGTGACGCCCGGGGCGGGAGGGACGGGATCAAGGAAGGACCAGGCGCGGGTGCGGGTGTCGAAGACCCAGACACGACCATACTCGTTGAGCGGCTGCGACGTGGTGGGGTCACGGCCACCGAAGACAAAGATGCGGTGACCTAGGGTAGCGGTGGCGTGACCGGCGCGCGGGGCAGGAAGCGGGGGAAGGGTCGAAGTAGGCGGGGGAGGCTCTTCCGGTTGTTTACCCTTCTGAGAGGGGCTCGTAGTCGTCGGAGTAGCTTGTGTGTCCTCTTCATCATCATCGTCGGTGAAGTTGGGGTCGGCACCGGTGGTGGGGGAGGCCAGAGGCACATCATCAAGGGCCCCCTCTCTGCTGCCACTCCTACCCGTTTCTGGGGTATCCTGAGGCACCTCAGTTGCGGTGGTGGGTTCGGAGGAGAGACCGGCTTGGGACTCGGACACGGATTCGGGTCCAGCATCGGGCTCGGAAGGCGGCACGTACACCTTGGGGGGAACGGCTTTAATAGTGTAGTAATCGGCACCGGCGCTGTTGTAGGGCAAAGTAATGACATGCATGTCGTTGTCTGCAGCACGGCCGGGCTGCGGTTCGCCCCCGAAAATGTAGGCAGAGCCGTTGACAATGTTTATGGAGTGCGAGGTGCGAGGCAAAGGAGGGGCGTCGATCTTCTCCCATGTGCCTTTCATTGCGGACGAATTCTTCTGTTTGGGGATTCGAGCAGGGATGGAAGGAACAGCGGGTAGGTTTTGGGGGATGGACTGGAGGAGGTCGGTCGTGCGACGGCGGATGGTCGCGAAGGATTCCATGCCAAACTCGGAGCGGGTTGCTGTGACGAATGGTTGACGAATCTTGAAATCAGTTCGACCGACGACGAAGGAAGGGAGAGAGGAGACGATGACGTAAAGACAAGACTTGTGCTGCTATCGTCTGTGTTGGATGGAACCGAGGCGGAAGTTCCTGGAGCTGCCTGGAACTTGGAGATGCACTTTATGGAAAGGCGGACGGTTCAGCAGATCGATTGAAAGCCCAGCTCGGAGTAATCAGCACAGACTAGAAAGTCCAGCTCAAGAGTCAGCATAAAGGGAAAGGTAAGGATACCTTAGAGACGAGCAGAAGATGGGAAAAGAGAAAACGTAGAAGAACAAAGGGATGAACTAACCAATTGCTTTAAATTCAACCCGCAGATAATAGAGAAAGGTGAATAAATGATAATCCCGGCTCGATGAAGTCGAGCCTGAGTAGATCTTATGTATAAGGGGAGAAGAGGGATGATGGGTGATGGAGGGTGGAGGTGGAGGTGGAGGTGGGAGAAGGGATCGAGCGTGAGCTAAGGTACCTTATAATCTGATAGGGGGCTAGGCGTTGAATCTTGCTGTGTGCTGTGCCATCAGCGTGGCTCAGCTCCACCAGCCCCCCTTCCCCACTGTAGCTTAGGTATTTTGCTTACCTTATTAGTACGTACATACGCCGTACCTTACTTCGAAGGCCTAGTCCCCAAGCGTTTTGGCAGGAGCGACCCCTGCCGCTGCGGCTGGCCCTGTCATCCCAGGTAAATACTCCATCACAGCTGACGTCAGCACCCGTAGATTCAAGCCTAGGTAACTTTATTTGTATGAAGTACAGGTACCAACCAACTCCTGAAGTCTACCTTACATGTAATTATACACAGTCTTTTTTTGGCAACTCTCTTAATCGTCCTCCCCTTCAGCGTCGACGAGCCCAAGGCCCGTCTCGCTAGCGTGCACAAAATCAACGTTCCCGCGCAGCGGATTCACCAGCTCCCACTCTCCACCTGAGTTTCGCCGTATGACACCCACCTCGTCACCCTCCGCCCATTCCGTAAGCGTCGGGTCCGAATCCCCGCCGAATTGGACCCTCGGCCCGTTCCCCTCGGCCGCCCGCTCGAGGTGCGTAGCAACGTGTTCCATGCGCTTGTCCCAGGCATTCGGCCCCCGGACCTTGAACTTGCAGTCGGGCACGGGACACCGCATGTACGTGGGTAAAGCGCACCGGCGCGTCTCGGCGTCCGCCTGGAGCTGCCGTAGGCGCTCGTCCCACTCCGGGGTGGGTTCCTTCCTGGACGCCGCCGCGGCGTCCGCAGGCGGCATGTGCATGCGGCGCAAATGCTGCCGGAGCAGGTCTTTGCGCTTGAAGATGGTCCGTCGAGGCGGCGGTCCCGAGCTCGCGGGCATCGCACTCTGAGAGGTACGGCTTCCGGGGGCAGCATCTGTGCCTTGGAAATGGACGCACGGGTCCAGAGTACACTTCCAGTAGATTTCAACCACATGTTGGGTGAGGACGTGGCGCTTCCATTCGTTCTTGTTCGGGAAGCTCGATGGGCAACCGGCGAAATGGAACACACAGGTGAATGGACGCGTGTGCTTTATTCTGATGTGTTTTCTGAGCCCGGCCTCGTCCGAAAATGCGCTGGTGTTGCACGAGTCGCAAGAGAAAGGCGGGCCCGCCGGAGTATAACCATGGTTTGATCGACTTGGCCCCTGAATCTGACGTCGAATGGGAGGTCTTTCACCAGCCGACGGGTCATCGTCGACCCTGACAGATCCCCGCTCGTTTCGACTAGGGACGCAACCCCCAGAGGGGGATCGTGCCTCAGACACGACGCTGCGGCTTCGCTTCCTGGGGGGCTCGCTCTTACACTTCTCGCCATCATCCTCTCCGTATTGGGAACAAGTCAGATTCATTGTACCTGACCAGGGTTCATGCGCTTCCACGTCTGCGTTGGCGTCTGCGTTCGCGTCTGCGGTATCAGGGCAAGCTTCTCCCAATGGCGTTCCGTAACTGCCGCTATTCCCCCCCTCGCCGCGCTGGGTCAAGGCCCAAGGTTGTTGAGAGACTGGGTAGGGATGGTTGCCACCAACATGGGAACTCAAGTCACTGAGGCCCAGATAACCGTCCATCCCCGGCTCGAGCTGAAGATTCGCAATAGGGGTTTCTTCAGAAAGATACGGTTGAGGAGACCCCACCGTCGCCTGTATCTCCTCTGGTCCGCTCCAGTGTGACTCTGGTTCAGCCATGTGTGGTGTCCCCGTCGACGTGTCTCCGAGCGCGGAGCCCGGCGTGTCGTTTCCCGACGGCGAGGCCGTTTGGGATAAGGTGAAGCCGTGTTGTTCGTGAAGCGTTGACAAGATTGGACTCATCAGGTGCTGACTCTGGGCAAACTGGGCATGGGAATCGGAAATCTGACCTGGGCACAAGGAAGAAGAAGTGGGCAATTCCTTGGCCAGCAAATGTGATTCATACGCCTGCTGCTGTTCGATCCATGCCGCGGACATTTGTGCAGCAGCAGCAGCATGTAGGACGGGTAGGAAGGGGTCGACCGGGGTGCTTATGTCTGAATATGAAGATTGGCTGTCATCAGACGGGGGAGAGAAGGCCGGAATTTGGTGGGCCTGAATGCCCTTGGAAAATGGAAGTGGGCTGCCGTACTGGTATATGCCGTCCTCCATGGTATGGTGGGTGTGGAATTTGGTTCTGATGATGGGTTGATGGGAAGAGCGACCAAGAACGTTAACAGTCTGAGAGGGAAAAGAGTGCCGTGATATATCAGGCCTGGGAAGTACACATTCTGTGAGTCGAAAGAAACACCCCCCAAAATCCAAACCGGAGGGGGAAATGGCGAGAGACAGTCACCGGGATAGAGATGGGTGACCGGCAAGACCCCCAACAAGCCCAGCAGAGCCTCATCAAAAAAAAAAAAAAAAAGGTGCAACGGGTCGTTGGTCTTCGCCATGTCACTCTGTAATGTCAAGGGGTCTCATACATCCTGGTCGAGAAGACTCATCGGTAGCCCTTGTCGTCTCCCAGGAGGTGCGCGTTCCATACGGGACTGAGGACCTCCTGCATGACGAGAGAAGAGTCACTAGGTTGATGGGCCTGGCGTGGGGGCCGGACGCCCATCGCCCAAGATCCATTTCCTAGGTTGCCTTACTTGACTGACCACAGAGCTTGAACCGCTGGACGATCATGATCCGCCCAGGCCAGGGCAGCCCGCTTCCTCGACCACTCAGAGGGGTAGATTGGCGAAGATGGAGTATGGCAACCCAGCAAGGCAATCGAGCTGATGGGGAACCCATACATCCATTCTAGGCATAGTCGCATCCGAACAAAGTATGCTAACAGTATCCCCTCGAAAACTGCGGGCTGACAGTCACCGAGGCCGCAATGGTGGAGTTTGAGGGCTGCGTTAGTTGCCCTTTCCCCCTCTTCCCCCAGCCATATCCTTGAGAAAAAAGGGAAGGTAGGTGAAACGAACTATGGTCTAGAATCATGGCATAGGACAACGGTAATGTCCGGGGAACACGGACGATGGGACGGACGCGGAATGGGAGAGCGGAAAGCCTAAATCAATAGGTAGAATAAAATAAAATAAAATGGCACCGCCGCACCATTGGTCGGGCAACAACAAAACATGAAGACAACCGACCCTAGCTAGCATATTACATCTGCAGCCTGTGGTGGCGGGGATTGAGTTGGTTGGGGCGTTGCGAAATTGCGGAGCCGATTCACCCAAGCTGGATGATGTCGATACTCGAGGAAACCCCGGTCGCAGAACGATCCCGCAGGGCGCCAGAGATGAAACTCTCGACTCCCCTCCATTTACTGCCTGCCGGGACATCCGAGTACCCACCTAGTTACCTTACGGACTACGGTTCCTTGGCAGAGCCGTCGCCCCAGGTCCTCTACACCAGGGCGTACCTAAGGGATAATGGCGCTAACGGTTCCAAGATAAGCTCCGTACCTTACCTTACCTGAGGTACCTAGGGTATCGCCCGAGAAGACCGGACGCGGAGCCGGAATCGAACGATAAACCTTAACGTCCATCAACCCCGTTGTGTGCCTCGAAGTACGGAGAACAGAGAGCACGCGATTAAGGTAGTGTCCGTACTCCGTATCCGTAGTTGAATGTTGTCCGTTCGGGAGGTCCGTTTACTCCGTACCTTAGAAGGTAGTGACCTTCTCAACAACTACCTTGAGCTTGAGCAGTACTAAGGTAATTAGTGAGGTGCGTCTTTGCGACATGGACAAACACGCACCCTCCATTCTTTTTTCCAGTTTTTTGCCATTGATGTTACACAAGACCCACTGTTGTCGACTACGTTGTACCCACAACGTACACGTACATACCTACCCGGGTAGGGGTGGGTATAGGTCAGAGCTCGAACAGAGAATTTTGCACTGACCAGAGCCAGGACAGAGATATCGCTGTCAACATAATGTTCTAAGACTTCGGACATCTGACCAGTCCATCGAGCTCTGACCTATAACCAGCCAAACCCGGGTAGGTACATACCTTACCTTACATATAATGATCTGGGCCCACTATTTTGCTCTCTTACCGAACGGATCCACCAGACATCGGTCGCCAAGGCCCGCGCCTTCGGTCGCTCGAACATACGAAGACATACGAATGAACACCCAGGTGTTCCTCGTCGTTTCCCGCCTCCCGTCCCTCAACGTCGAGGACAAGCACTACTATCAAGACCCCTGGGAATTGGGGTGTCCCCTAGATACTTCGTACATACAAGGTCCGTCGTAGTTCCCTGTCGCCAAGACAGGTTGATCTGCACTAGTAATCCCCGGCTGCCGGGGTGATGACCTTTGTCGCCGAACCTGTACGTGTACTCATACACGTACAGGAAGGCCTACATAATGTACGCTATACACATACAGGCACCTAACGATAGGAACTTAAGGTACCTAAGGTACCTAAGGTACCTAAGGTAACATATGTCGGTATCAGGCGAGTAAATAACGCTTAAGGTACCTTACCGGGAGTCACTAGGCGTTAGTTATCCTTGGATTATAGCCTATTATTACTGGGTTTATATCGATAAGATATATAGCTATCCTTAGATATTAGACTATTCTTAGAAATAACACTATCCTAACTTTAGCCCGGAGGTAGTATAGCTAATACGATATAAGTATAGATAAGATATATTACTAGTGTAAAATTTATATAAATATATATAAATACGATTTAATTAGACTTTATATTTATACCTGCCTTAGGCGTTCTAGGAAAACTAAGAAGTCCTTATCCTAAAGTACGCTTACGAATACTATTACTATGAGGGAGATCCTGCTATATAGAAGAAGTCCTGCTATAGAAGAGGCACTGCTATATAGAAGAGGCACTGCTATATAGAAGAGGCACTGCTATATAGAAGAGGCACTGCTATATAGAAGAGACACTGCTATATAAAAGTGGTTTTGTTACTATGGAAGAAGTTAGCTCTTTATCACGAAGTGGAAGGACTCTACCTACTACCTCTGCTATTATTATAGGAGGGCTGTTATTATAGGAGGGCTATTGTTCTGGGAGGGCTTTATATAGAAAAGGAAGAAGATATTAACGACTGGTCACAGGTCGTGGCATAAGTGAGGTCGTAATAATAGATTATCTAGAACTAAGAAAGGAAGAAGAAAAAGGAGAAAAGTCTATAGCGCTAGGCTAGCTATAAAGTAGCGATAGCTAGGCGATATAGGTCCGTTAACTAAGCGCGTAGCCAGGAAGATCCGGAGTATAGCCGGATCCTCTATATCGGGGCTAACCCGTAATATACCCCCCCCCTCCTCCCTCCGGAGGTTATATAACCGCGCGCCCTTATTATGCCTTAGTTCCCCTTACGTCGCGGTAATAAAGGAATAAGCGTGTCTCTTTATCTTACCTCGCCTTTACCTCGATATTAAAGAAATCTTAGGTCGCCTACTAACCCTTTATTTATATACCTAAAATAGTAATATAGGCTCCCTTATATAGATCCTATCCGTAGATATATTATACTCTTTTTTTTCTTATAGGCTCTCTCTTCCTCTTTTCGTCCCTAACTATAATAATAATAATAATAGCTATAGCTATTCTATATATTCTCGTGCCTCCTTATAGCGACGATTTCTCTAACTCCTTTCGGTCGTAGATTCCCTTTATCGATACTCGTATAGTTTCAGAGTTCCCCGTCTAAGGTAAGCTATCCCTTTCTCACGATTTCTATATAAGGTAACCCCGCTAACTGATAGCGTTCGTAAATAGCGTTAGCCCCCGGCAATAATAAGGGTAATAATAGTAGTAAGCGTGCTATTAACGACGATATAGGTACCACGCTTTTACGCCTTAGGCTATACTAACTATATAATAGTTCGGGTTATCGCCGCCGCCTCCGCCTAAGAAAAAGAAGTCGGAGGGTAGTCGGCCTCCTAAGTACCCTTTTAGTAGTATTTATACCGAGCCGTGCCTCCTTTACACGCGCGACGTCGTTAATAGGAAGTATAAACGCCTTTATTATAGCTAAACTAATCGGGGGAGGAAATACTATATATACTCTACGAAGATATACCGATATATACCTCTCCTAACGCACCTTAAAGGCTACGCGTAGAGGTTATTCGAGACGGCTGCCTTTATTAGCGACGATAATATGAACGGCTTTATAAGACTATTTCCCCTCTAAAGTCGTAAGCTTATCGCTAACCTCTCTCCTATAAATAGGACCTATATCTTAACGCCTACGTGGTATTCTAGGATACCTTTATAGCTAGGGATCCGATAATAGCGATATTACCTATAGCTATATATCCCGTGGAGGCTCCCGATACGGTAATCGCGCTAGCCCCTTCTCCTCCTTAAGAGGTCTAAGAAGCGGTAATACTATAGCTAGCCTTATTACCTTTTCCTAAGGTTATTAATAAGATAGCTAAACTAGCCTCGCTTCTTTTAGTAATAGAGGTTATTAATAAGGTAGTTATATTAGTCTTTTCTCCTCTTTTAGGGGTCTTAGAAGAGATAGCGTCGGGACTAAACGTATCGCCTTTAAAGGAGGCTATTACTAAGGTGGGATAACCGACCTTATCTCCTCCTTATAAGGTTATAGGTAAGGTAGTAGTTTCGGGCCTAATCCCTTCTAATATTATAACGGAAAAGAACGCTCGCTTTACTACTCCCGCTCTTTTATCGCAGCCTTTATTATCTAACGAAGACTTTAGGCGCCTTTAACTCATAGAGTTAAGGGAGTAGACTCGGCTACTTAGGGAGATACTCGTACTCGGTCGCGCTAATATCGTAATCGCCGAATTCTAATAATACGCGGAGTATAGGCGAGCTTCTATACCTACGGGTATAATTATCGGGAGTACCGTTATAATCCCCGATAACGACGATAATAAAGATAACGACGATAACGATAATAAAAAGGTTAAGGAGACTAACTTTAACCTATAAAGGGGCGAGGAGGGTAAGACTTTTACGGAAATCGATAATCCCGAGGATAAAGGACTTTAAGGGCGAGGATATCGATCTAGGCTTATATTAAGTATAGCTAGGGCGCGGGGCCTATCCGGCCTATAATAAATCTAAACCTTACTCTTTTCCAATTATCGTAATATAATCGCTTATATATCGGTTCCTATATTATAATAGCGTATAGTTATTTAACGGCCTATTATTTATTATTATTAGGCTAAACTTTTTTTTAAACTCGTTAAATACCCGCGTTTATACTAATAGTTCTAGCGGTTCCTAAGTCGCTTTATAGTATCCTACCTATTATACTAGTACTTTACATTTTAATCCTTTACCTCGCCTCTTTATTCTCGCGTAAAGAATTTCCTAGACTTCTTATTCCTTATTATCGGTCGCTTCTCGGATAGGCGGGGGTTAGGGGTTATATACTAACTACTTTAGTAGGGGGTTATCGCCCGCGCGGCGTAGTAAATCTATATAAAATCAGAGATAAATCTACGATAGTATAGCGAGTTTGACTACGTACGGGCTAATTATCTTTATAACCCGGTATTTACGGTATAGCTAGTCGAGCTTATATAATAGTTAAGGGGTTAAGTAATTAGCTAGCGATAGCTAAACTAAGTCGTTTACTTTAAAACGCTTAGCCGGTAAACGATATTAATTTACGGACTCTTTATTCCTAAGCTATATTAACACGACCGTAGCTTAAGCGAACTTTATCGCTTCCTATAAGCGGCGTAGTAGGTTATATACCGCTAATACTCTAGGTTTTATTAGGGGCTCTTTAGTTATCTGGATTAGGTCGATATAGTACTTATATTCTAAAAAGAAGGGATTAAACCCTATCACGGAGCTTTTATAATTATTTAGGGCTAGTTATACTATAGGTAATAGGCAATCCTAGTCGTCCTAAGCGTAGTAAATAAAGGCTTATAAATA